CCCCATATGAGTGCCTTGCTAATGAAAATGGGTATCTTAACAAACGTGCTTCTATTAACTCTTTTATACAAGTGTTACGGCCCGCACAGGGCACACAACATATGAAATCCAGACCAAGTTACACAGACAAAGGTTTTATTTAGACTGTGGCTGGACATAGAGGTAGTGGGGAACCGTGGCAAATAAACAGAAGGATGGGAGCATTCGCGAACCAGCCAGCGGTTGACCGTCGGATTCGGGCCGCTACCCTCGCCCTGCCTTGCCGGATCAGTCGCCCTACAACCAAAAACCGGAAAACCACAGCTCGGCCAACGGTCCCCAGACCTAACAACCCGAGGGAAGGTTAACAAACAAAAAAACACATCGAAGGAGCGGGAGCGAGGCTTGGAGACACGCCACCACACAGGAGTACTCCCAAACTTCCTCGCTCCCCTGGTGGGTTGGGCTTGATCCCTTTAAACTCTCCCCAGCCAATCAACTGCAAGAAGAAAACAGCAATTAGACAGGGATTCATTCACAAAAGTGACAGGAGCCCATCACACCTCCACCCCTAAATGCTGCATGGGGACTTTGGGTCACCATGCAGCATCAGTAGTAGGAACGAGACAGTGCGTCGGCCAAGATGTTATCCTTACCCTTTATATGCTTTACCTTTAAACAGAAGGACTGAAGATAAAGGGCCCACTGCATCAGCCGTTGATTGGAGTTACGCATTTGTTGAATAAAGACGAGCGGGTTATGATCGGTGTAAACCACAATTGGGGCACTAAAGGAGCCCACATAGACCTCGAAGTGTTTCAAAGCCATAATCAGCGCCAGTGCCTTCTTTTCTATTGTAGAGTACACCTTTTGGTGCCTATTAAATTTCTTTGAGAAATAGCACATAGGGTGTTCTATCCCGTCTGAGCCATCAGTCAAAGAACCGCCCCAGCTCCTGTATCACTGGCATCCACCGCCAGTTTAAAGGGGACCGTGTACACTGGTGCGGCAAGCACCGGTGCATTACTCAGGAGCGCTTTGACGCATTCAAACGCATGTTGGCACTCAAGTGACCACTTAAATGGAACCTTTGGACTCATCAAGTCAGTGAGAGGAGAAGCGACGGCGGAAAAGTTCTTACAGAAACTCCTGTAATACCCAGCCATACCAAGAAAGCACTGTAGCTCACGTCGTGAGGAAGGAATAGGAAATGCTGAAATAGCCTCTATTTTTGAGCCCACCGGTCTCACTTGTCCATTACCCACCACTTTACCCAAATAAACCACAGTGGCACGACCAAACTCACATTTTGCGAGATTAACAGTTAGATGGGCTTCATTTAATTTCTGAAACACAGTTTTCACCTGTTCTAGATGTTCCTCCCAAGAATCTGAAGAAATGACAATGTCATCCAAATAAGCCTCACACCCCTTCACACCAGACAAAACCTTGTTTACCAGACGCTGAAAGTTGCCGGCGCGTTACGCACGCCAAATGGCATCACGGTGTACTGCTAGAATGCATCTGGAGTCACAAATGCAGTGATTTCCTTGGCTTGCTCAGTCAGCGGGACCTGCCAATAGCCTTTCAGAAGATCTAACTTTGTCACAAACACTGCGGAGCCTACGCGATCAACACAATCCTCCATCCGAGGAAGTGGGTGGCAATCAGGTTTTGTGACTCCGTTAACCTTTCTAAAATCAGTGCAAAAGCGGTCAGACCCATCCTACTTAACTGCCAGCAAGAACGGTGAACTCCACGCACTACAACTGGGCTCAGCAATGCCATTTAGCAACATGTATTCAGTTTGATTTTGTAGGCGTTTTCTTTTATCTGGATTCACCCTATAGGGATGCTGCTTAATAGGGAGAGAATCACCGACATTTATATCATGTTCCAACACATTAGTTTGGGAGGGCACATCTGAAAACAAACAATTTTTTTATGTGTTTGTTATTGGTGACATGAACTCTGATATCACTGACAGTAAATCTATCTTTGGTACTCATTTAAAGCAGTTTTGTGAGGATAGTGGGTTAATTCTCTCAACGAAAGTTCTGCTGCCTACAGATAGTTTTACATATATATTAGTGAGGCATGGCATACAACCTCATGGTTGGATCAATGTGTAACCACAGCAGATGCACATGCCTCATTGACCGACATGAAAATCCTGTATGAATTCTCTACTGCTGATCATATTCCATTTGGGATGCAGATACTTTTACAGTGGTTACCAAAGACAGAAAAGTACTCTGAAAGCAACAAATTACACTTAGACTGGAGCTCACTGTCAAAGGAGGATCTGCTATCTTATTCGATGTGCACAGATAACTCATTTAGGAATATCTGCTTGCCCAGAGAAGCAGTTAGCTGTAGAGATGCTAATTGTAAAAATTCTGAGCACATTAGATCCATTTGTTCTGTGTGTAATGAAATAGTTAATGTTTTGATTGCATCAACTAAACACTTTCATAAACAAAGAAAAATAAGATCAGGCCAGGTTGGAATACCCACGTGATTGAATTTTTTAATAGAGCTAGAGAGGCTTCTAAGGAATGGTTTGAGGCAGGTAGACCAAGATCAGGGTCTGTCTTTGAACATAAAAAGTATACCAATGCCCAATATAAGTATGCTGTGCGTTATATTGGTAAAAATGAAAAAGCAATGAGGTCTGACTCAATGGCCAGAAAACTCTTCTGTAACAATCCCCAAGGCTTCTGGAAAGAAGTTAGAGGTATGACATCCTACAAAACATCCCTCACATGTTCGGTTGATGGCATTTCAGGCACTGCTAACATTGTGGAGCTGTGGCGCCAACATTACAGCAGATTATTTAATTGTATCCATAGTGAACCATGCACTGTAAATAATGTTGACCATATAGATGAAATCCTGCCTTATGAGGTTCATAAAGCTATTTCCAAATTATTTAACAATAAAGCCACTGGGCTGGATGGAGTCTCAGCTGAACATTTAAAGTATGCAAATGCAAGGCTAGCTCCTCTACCTTCCATTTGTTTCACATTGTTTCTTATTCATGGTCTTTTACCTGACTCTATTTTAAGTGTCCTGTTAGTACCCGTCATTAAAGATAAAACTGGAAACATTGGCAATTCTGATAATTACCGTCTGATAGAAGTACTGGTATACTCGGCACTCCATTCAAAGTTAGTAATGGGGTGAGGCAGGGCGGGATTTTGTCCCCATTTCTCTTTAACTTGTATCTGGATGAACTGTCACACAAGTTGAGAGCTTGTCACACTGATTGTGTGGCTGGTGACTCGATACTTAATCACCTGATGTATGCAGATGATTTAGTAATATTTAGCCCTAGTACTGCAGGGTTACAGCAACTACTTAACATCTGCTCTGAGTATGGTCTGGAACACGACATAAAGTACAATCCATCTAAAAGTGTGATCATGATCTGTAGGAGTAAGGAAGATAAATCTACTGAGTTTCCAGATTTTCTGCTGTCAAATACTGTGCTGGGTGTTACAAACAAAACCAAGTATCTTGGGCACATCATCACAGAAAATCTGTCAGAAGATGATGATATTTGTAGACAGTGTAGATTGTTGTATGCTCAAGCTAATACCCTTGCTCGTAAATTCGGTTCATGTACTGATAAAGTCAAAGTGGAACTGTTTAATGCATATTGTACCTCTCTGTACACTGCTCATCTGTGGACTACATATAGAAAAGTCAACCTGCAAAGGCTGCAGGTGGCCTATAATGATGCTATGCGGGTACTTTTGAAATGTCCAAGATGGTCCAGTGCAAGTGAGATGTTTGTCACACCAAGAGTCAATACCCTACAAGCGGTTTTACGAAAGTTAATGTATAAGTTTATTTGTAGGTTAAATGCAGCTGAAAACAATATTATTTTGTCACTTACTGATACCACACGTAGTGCAATCCAATATCAGTCTAAGCTATCTATCTAGTATAGAGATATTTGTTGGTGAAGATTCTCAGTCATCCAGGTAATAGTCATTCCAAAAAAGGTTAAAAAAAAAGCAATCCACTGGACTTTGTTTTCCAAGTTTGAAGACGTTTTGCTTCCAATTCAGAAAGCTTTCTCAATTCAATTTGTCTGAAGTAACGTTTGAGTTCCAGGTTTATTAATTGGCCCAAACAAAAGCTCTGTTATGGCTTAGAAAACATACAAATTGAACCGAAAAAACAGGTCCACCCCTCAGTAATGAAAGTCGTTGAGGTCGTTGTTGGCCTGCAAAACCCAATATTGACCCATGCCTCTGAAAAGGAGTCATTAGGGTCGTTGTTGGCTTGGCTAACCAAGAGAGATGTTTTGCTCCTCTGCAAATCAACTCTTGCTGCATTGTAGGTGCAATGTACAGAGCAGTTGCGTTCTCTGGCTCTTGACAACCATAATTGAGCACACAAACTAGGGCACGCTCACAAACACCTACAGGTGTGGTATCTTCAGCTACCACTTTTTACATTTAGTATTGATTAATACTGTATATACTTCATTGATGGTATCAAGGTGTTCCTGTATTGTATCTATATTTCTTTATCAGTTGGTTGTGCTTTTATTTAAGTTTTATCAATTTTTCTCTTCTGTCTCCTCTTTCTTTGACCTTTTTTCCCTTTTTTCTTCTTTTTTTCTTCTCATTTCTCTCTCTTCTACTTTGTCAATGCAGTGTCCACATAACACGAATATTCCCTTCATAAATAAATAATAAAACTATTTGCATTTATAAATCAAGCAGAGGACTATGGCTAAAGCAATTAATGCTACACTTGTAAGAGGAAAATTTGTTGGGCTCTCTCTAGCCAGTGGCGTAGGAAGCAGGGGGAAGGGGGGGACAAGTCCCCCCCAATATTGAAGCCAGGTGAATATGTCCCCCCCCAAAAAAAATTGTACTGCAAAATATTTGATTTTGACATTTTTTAATTAGCGTGCTTTTATTTTGAAGGCGCAGCATAGCGTTACGTCACTGTACTCCCCCTCCCCTCTCTGAAATGCTGAGTGTTTGAGCACTCAGAAGGGAGGGAAACAGCGACACAGAAGTCAGAAACTTGTGAATGAGGTAAAATGGTCTGTCGGGAATGCTGCTATGAATATTGCTTATTTATAACGTCTTGTTGTCAGTTCACTCTCATATATAGAAACTGTATCCTTTTGGTTTAGCCATTAGTCTTGGGATAATCACTCATCCATTATTTAACTGCTAACTTTCTCTAGACGTTTGTACGGAAGAGGATTAGGGCCACTGGAAAAAATTCTGAATCTCAGAATTCTGACTTTAATCTCAGAATTCTGACTTTTTTCTCAGAATTCCAACTTTAATCTCAGAATTCTGACTTTTTTCCCCTCAGAATTCTGACTTTAATTTCAGAATTTTTTATTTTAATGTAGATGGGCATCATGAAGGAAGAGATGTAGGAGCACTCAGCTTTACTGACAAAGATGTGAGTTGTTTGAGAGGGCCAGTGACACATTGGGGGAAAATGACGTAATTAGGCAACTTTTTACGTGCCCAAGGGGTCCCCTCATTAATGGAAGAGCAGAAGATCATTAAAAAAGAGAGCTAGTCTCTAAAACAGACATGGCTATGGCTTGATGCTAACATGTTTGTTATCTGGCAGAATTCTGAGAAAAAAGTCAGAATTCTGAGGAAAAAAAAGTCAGAATTCTGAGATAAAAGTCAGAATTCTGAGATTAAAGTCAGAATTCTGAGGAAAAAGTCAGAATTCTGAGAAAAAAGTCAGAATTCTGACGAAAAAAAGTCAGAATTCTGAGATTAAAGTCAGAATTCTGAGATTAAAGTCAGAATTCTGAGGAAAAAGTCAGAATTCTGAGAAAAAAGTCAGAATTCTGAGGAAAAAAAGTCAGAATTCTGAGATTAAAGTCAGAATTCTGAGATTAAAGTCAGAATTCTGAGGAAAAAAAAGTCAGAATTCTGAGATAAAAGTCAGAATTCTGAGATTAAGGTCAGAATTCTGAGGAAAAAGTCAGAATTCTGAGGAAAAAGTCAGAATTCTGAGAAAAAAGTCAGAATTCTGAGGAAAAAAAGTCAGAATTCTGACTTTTTTCCCATACTAAACTGAAATAAAATTTAAAAATCTGTTCTTTTTTTTTCCAGTGGCCCTAATCCTCTTCCGTACGTTTGCTACGCTAGCCAATATGTTTTTTGTTTTTTTGTTTTTTTTATATCTCATTCCAGTACAATGCTAGCCTGATGTAGTCCGACTCAATTCTAGTCAGAATATGAGTCTGATACTGCTCCATAGAGCTGTGATTATGGGGCGTGTTTCGAATGAACCAGGAAAAAAAATGCCTCTGCACTCAATTGGATAGAGCAACGGAGTGCGTGACGTATGTTAAGCGAGGCATAGTTGTTGTCCACAAAAATCAAAGCGTGCAGTTTCACGCCTAGAATAAGAAGATGAGACTTGATCGCGTTTCTCTGTTCCTCTTTTAAAATTAATTTGCTGTCGATATCTTCTAGAACAGACCTAATAGCAGAATCTACTCACCCAAACTCTCCAGCGGCAGCCATTATTGTTGTCACCGTAGCGCGCTTTGGTCACGTGGTTGATTACGTTACTCTTGATCATCTGTCCATCACCGTATAAAGTCCGCCCTGACAATTTGATTGGATCGCCTGACAGTGGGCGATAATACTCGCGCTACTATGGAGCAGAGCCAGACCGAACTTCCCCGAACTCAAACCTTGTGGGCGGGGCTAAGTTCTGACTGGCACCCAGGCTAGTACAATGCCACCACCAACTAAAAGGCTGAAACAGCAGCAGGACTTACTCTGCTCTTTTAAAAAGAGTAACATCAATGTGGGTAACAGAAATTAGCCCGGTCTGGGCGTGCGTTTTACGAAGATTTTTTTTTTTTTTTTTTGTGGTTTTGCTTCGCCGAAATGGACAGATGTTATACTGCTGGCTCCTCTTTTTGATTGTAAATAGATTAACACAACATTGACAACTCTGTAGTTTTCTCTGTTCTGTACTGCAAACTGGAATTAAAGGCGCCATTTCTACCAAAGGTCTGGACAGACTGGCAACCTGTCAAGGGTGTACCCTGCACATGCACCTCCCGACCCCACTAAGGGACAAGGGTGTACAGAAAATGGAAGGATAGATGGATTTCTACCAAAGGTTTAGAATGCGTTTTTGAACCAGATGCTTCAAAGTGCCCTGTCCATAATTCTTCAACAAACTGTCAGCTCCCTGTCAGAAAGACTTTAGTTCAGAGTCCATGAGATAATACTCTGAAAGGATTTTAATCGATTGATTTTATTTGCCTCTGTGCGTAAAGTTTGTAATGTGACAAATAAAATGTTTTGTTTGATTTAAAATTGGCCATGTTAGGCTCAAGGGCTGTACCTCATTTCTGAAACCATCTCATATGTTTAGGAGCAACAATGCATGGGGGATAGTGCAACTGGGCTAGAGGCAGGAAGTCCGAGTGAGGGAGAGACAGGAGTGGAACAACAGGTAAGATATAGTAACTCATGCCAGTAGATACTTCATGAGAGTCCACAAAAAAAGTTGAAAAATTGTAATCTTTTGCTTGTAGTAAGTGTAGTTCAGGGGCATTTAGTGACATTGTAACTTTTCCTTCTAGGGAGTTCAGACTAGGGACACACAGCTGAGAGACTCTGAAGTCAGTGGACAGAGAACAGAGCCAAATCAGCCACATCCAAAATAGACCCTCAAGCTCTAGCCAACAGAACTTTACATTTCCAAGAAAAGTGGTACAAGGAAGGCACATTTTTGGCGAATTATAAACGCATGGCTGTAAAGTGCAATTGTTCAGAAGCACAAAGGTGTTGATCTCTACCTAGTGTTATGTGGCCTATAAACAAAAGAAACAAAATAAAATCAACAATGCTTCGTATACTGACTATCTCTGTGCTAACTCCTTTTCCAACAGTTAAAGCACACTGTAGTCAGTGAGTTAAAAAGCTTGTCTATTAAATGTCTATTTATTGTTGGTAAATATTTCTTCATTTTTGATTCGGTTTAATTAGTCATACAGTTCGCCAAACTGAATAAGCATATTTTGATTGATTTTCTTTTCTTCTTTTACTTAGTGTGAATAATTTGTTCACTACATTATTTGTGAGGGCTCTTTCATCTCAGTATTTGTTTAATCAAAGAGATGGTTCTATGGTCAGTCAACCTATATAAATTCATTTTTGACCATTATTGCAAGTTTGACGAAATAAAACATATCAAACTTTGCACTTGTGTGGCCCACTGAATTGTTTTTAATCCAACTGAAATATTTGACTTTCTAGTGCGTATGTGGACACTAAATATGCCAAGAGCTTAAGCCCTTGAAAGACATCTCCCTTTGCTTAATAAAAGATTCCAGTCATTTTGTTTGGTGATATGCTCAAATCTTATGAACAAATGCATTATGTAAATTTTAAATGCATTATTTTTGCAAGACACATTTATAAATGAATAAAGTAAAAGACTAAATAGCCTTTTTTTAAGTAGCGTACTTAAGATATATTTCTGTTGAATATTTACGAATCTCAGATTTCCGACATGTGTCCCCCCAATTGTAAACTTATTCCTACGCCCTTGTCTCTAGCATTAAGAAAACAATTCAAATTGCCACATTACCAGATAAAAAAAGAATAATGCATTAAATGGCACACAAATGCATAATCTAACTTCATTATACAGTGACAAAACACCAAGGACATGAGTAGAAAGTTTTTTTAAGTGGTGTAATAATAAAAGCGAACATATTCTACCGGCAGATTTCTGCATTTTAAGTTAATTTATGCGTCAATAAACTGTTTCAGAGGAGTGATCACAGCGCTCTTTGTCATCAGCGATGTGTCTGTCTCGCTGCCAGCTCCCAGATCAGCTTCTCTGATTGGTTGATGCGGCGCATCGAGCAGCAAACGAGCAGCTGCGCGTTTGCAGCACGTCACCCGCGTCAGATGCTTAAACGCTCCCGACACGCTACGCCTGCTGCTCAAAACGTGCTGCGGGACCTTTTGCTGCACTTTGACGCGCGTGTAAACTCGCTGCTTCTGCTGCACCTGCTGCGTCCGGTGTAAAAGCAGCATTACTTTGAACGGCCGGTTCACACTGATGTCGAGCGGATGAAGTTCCTTTGTCAGATTTCCTGCAATAAGAGCAAGCACAGCATTCATTTGTTTCACCATGTTTTTCACATCAGCTGTGAGATGGGCACGCATGTGTCAGGGCTCTGCCTCTCTCTCCCTTCTCTGCAGGTGGCTGGAGCTGACAGGTGGGCGTGGTACACACCTGTGGCTTGTTCAGCGGCGTGCGGCTCAGCTATTTAAGCAGCACTTTGACAGCTGATGGACGCCAGAGTGTTAACCTTGTTGGTACGCTTAGAGGCCTCTGTCTGTGACAGCTTACCTTTTTCTCAGCGCTAACCCAAGTCTCCTGTGTTTCCCAGGTCTTTTCTCCTTGTGAAAACCGTTCCAGTGTTTCCTCGAGCTCCGACGTCTTCAGTGGAAGTTCTCCGGTTCAGACTGTTCTGGATCTACCTCTGAATAATCCCTCCAGCTCCCTTGGTGGTACCAAGCCGGGCTGGAGAGCCCTTCAAGCCCTTCTGGTTCCATCAGCTGCCCCCGGATTCCTCCTCGGCCGCTGCTGCTCGGGCCCCTCCTCACAGACTTCAATCACCTGCCCACCTGTCGCTCAGTCACCTGCCAACTTCTCGGGAGGTTCCTCAGTGAGTCCGTCTCTCCACTCCCCCCTGCCCGGTTCCTTCATCCGGCGGTAGGTTTATTTTACGTTTCCCCTATCTCGTTCTCCCTATCTCTGTGTCTAACTTTGGCTCTCACCGCAGATCGATCAGTCCTGCCTGCGCTGATAGTCCACCTGCTCACCGTGCCGCAGCTCCCAGTGTTTGGTTCCCTCGCTGTTTAATTAAACGTCTGAAAATTGCTCTTGCCTTCTGTGTTGGTTCTGCATGTGGGTCAAGCACCTCAAAACCATGACAGAACAACACTCTGGCCACACTGACCCAGCAGACTCAGTTGGGAGGACGCTCTCCACCCACCAAGAGCAGCTTCAGACGCTAGGTTTAGCCGTGCAGTCCACGCAGGATCAGCTGCGCGGACTTTCTGCTCAGATCAGTCAGCTGTCTGATGCAGTGCTCGCTCTAACGCACGTTCCATCTTCCGCTTCTATTAGTGCTCAGCCCGAGCCCGCGCCTGCGGCCCCGCCTTCGCCTGTCAGTGAAAGCTCCTCTCCGAGCCCAGAGAAGTTTTCTGGGGAGCGTGGGGACTGCGGAGGTTTTTTATTTCAATGTTCGCTGGTTTTTAATCAATCCCCACGAACATATGCCCTAGATAACACTAAAATCTCCTATGTCCTGCGTCTTTTGTCTGGGAGAGCTTTAAGATGAGCTGAGGCACGTTTCCCCGACTGCCGTAATTTTGGCTGCACATTTAATAACTTTGTGCAGGAGTTTAAAATGGTGTTTTCTACTGAGTCCGATCCTGCGCAGCAGTCCCGTCAGCTGCTGGCTCTTAGGCAGCGCGGTCGGCGCGTCTCTGACTTTGCCATAGAGTTCCGCACCTTAGCAGCGGCTGCTGGTTGGGAACCGCGCGCCTTAAGAACTGTGTTTTTTCATGCCCTCGATGAGTCCCTCAAGGACGAGCTAGCCCGCCTTGAGGAACCCGACTCTCTTAATGAGTTTATCGCTTTAGCCATACGGTTAGATAACCGTTTAAGGAGCAGGAGTGGTGTGAGGACGGAAAGACCCACACGCCCGTTGGCTCCTCCTCTCCCCGAGCGCGCTCCTCTCCGGCCCGTTGCGGCTCCCCCCTCTCCTCCTCCGGAGCCTATGCAAATAGGTCGGGTCCGCCTAACAGCTGAAGAGAGGCAGCAGCGCATGGATGCCAGGCTATGCCTTTATTGTGCCGCCTCTGATCACTTTATCAGTACCTGTCCACGTCGGCCAAAAGATCAGGTTCGTCGGCAGTAGTGGGGAGGCCGGCGGACCCACTTAAGTTTTCGCACCCCACATCGCCTCGTCTCTGCTTACGAGCGACTGTTCCCACGGCTCGTAAATCTCTAAACCTTTCAGCCCTAGTAGATTCGGGCTGTGACTTCAATCTCTTAGATCACTCCCTAGTTCAGCAGCTCGGGATCGAGATGGTGCCCTTGTCCACGCCTCTCCAGGTATCCGCCCTGGATGGAGGCAGCCTTCCCCAAATAACCCACCGAACCCAACCCTTGGAGGTTGTTATATCGGGAAATCACCGTGAGCGGATCTCGTTTTTTGTTTTCCCAGTAAAACAAGCCCCCCTTGTCCTCGGTTATTCTTGCCTACAAGAACATAATCCCCATATAAACTGGGCGGAGCAGCGCATCGAATCTTGGTCCCCTGCGTGTCATTCTCGCTGTTTACTCTCTGCGGTTCCCTCCAATCCTTCAGTGGATGGTCCAAATCAGTCTCTGGACACGGTCGATCTTAGTTTAATCCCGAAACAGTATCACGATTTAGGAATGGTGTTTAACAAGAGCAGTGCAGCATCTTTACCGCCGCACCGCCCATACGATTGCGCTATTAACCTGTTACCCGGAGCACCGCTGCCCACCAGCCGCCTATATAATATCTCCAGAGCTGAACGCCAGGCTCTGGAGAAGTACATCAGTGACTCCCTAGCCTCTGGTTTCATCCGTCCTTCTTCCTCTCCACTTGGAGCTGGCTTCTTCTTTGTGGGGAAGAAGGATGGAACCCTCCGTCCGTGTATAGACTATCGTGGTCTTAATCAGATTACTGTAAAAAACAAGTATCCACTACCCCTTCTCTCTTCTGCGCTAGAGCCGGTCCAAGACGCCAAGATTTTTACCAAACTAGACTTGCGCAATGCGTACCATCTAGTTCAGATCCGTCGGGGGGATGAGTGGAAGACGGCTTTTAAGACCCCTCTGGGTCATTTTGAGTATTTGGTAATGCCCTTTGGGCTTTGCAATGCCCCATCCGTCTTTCAGGCTTTGGTTAATGACGTCCTCCGGGACTACCTGAATGTTTTTGTCTTCGTTTACATCGATGACATTCTAATCTATTCCCGAAACCTCACTGAGCACATCCGTCATGTTCGACTCGTCCTTCAACGCCTGCTCGAAAATCGTCTGTTCGTTAAGGCTGAGAAGTGTGAGTTTCACCAGTCCTATGTAACCTTCCTCGGTCTCATTTTAGAGGGGGGACAAGTCAGATCTGACCCTGATAAGATTAAGGCGGTCCTAGACTGGCCCATACCTGAGACTCGGAAGCAGCTCCAGCGTTTTCTTGGCTTCGCAAACTTCTATCGCCGTTTCATAAGGGGCTACAGTCAAATAGCCGCCCCCCTACATGCCCTCACCTCACCGAGGGACCAGTTCATTTGGAACCCTGATGCTAACTCTGCATTCGAGAAACTAAAGGAGAGGTTCTCCCAAGCACCTATCCTCGTGCACCCCGACCCTCTTAAACAATTCACTCTCGAGATAGACGCCTCTGACACAGGGGTAGGTGCTGTCCTTTCTCAACAGTCCGACACTGACCGTAAGCTCCACCCCTGTGCTTTTTTCTCTCGTCGTCTGTCCTCCTCAGAAAGAAATTATGATGTGGGCGATAGGGAGTTATTAGCCATTAAACTGGCCCTGGAGGAGTGGCGCCACTGGCTTGAGGGGTCCGAGCAGCCCGTCATTGTCTGGACGGATCATAAGAACCTGGCCTACCTCCAGTCAGCTAAACGACTCAATCCTCGGCAGGCACGCTGGTCACTGTTCTTCTCCCGTTTCAACCTGTCAATTTCCTACCGCCCTGGCTCCAAGAACCTTAAGCCTGATGCTCTTTCCCGCCTCCATGCCCCACAAGACACGGATCCAGAACCAGGCCCCATCCTTCCATCCTCCTGCACCTTTGGCGCTCTCCAATGGGAGATAGAGGATCTAATCTCCCGGGCTCTAGAGGACGATCCAGATCCAGGAACTGGACCCCCCAACCGTCTCTTTGTCCCCAAGACTGCCCGCTCCCAAGTTTTAGACTGGGGCCATTCAAACAAGCTCTCGGCTCACCCTGGCTTCCATCGAACTCTCAATTACATCTCCCGCCGCTTCTGGTGGCCATCCATGGCTAAGGAGGTCCGGGAGTATGTACTTGCCTGTCCAATCTGTGCCCAAAACAAATCGTCCTACCGGCCCACTGCTGGTTTACTTCAACCACTTCCTGTCCCAAGTCGCCCTTGGTCTCACGTCGCCCTAGATTTTGTGACTGGTTTGCCTCCCTCACAGGGAATGACGACAATCCTAACAATCATTGACCGATTCTCCAAGGCCTGTCACCTCGTTGCCCTCCGTAGACTCCCCACGGCCTTTCAAACTGCTCAGCTCATGATTAAGCATGTTTTCCGCTTGCATGGCCTCCCCCGGGACATTTTATCTGACAGGGGGCCTCAATTCACATCACGGGTCTGGAAAGAGTTTGCCTCTGCCCTAGGTGCCAGGTATACTCTTTCCTCAGGTTATCATCCCCAAACTAATGGTCAGACTGAACGGCTAAATCAGGAACTCGAGGCAACCCTCCGTTGTCTCACTTGCTCCAATCCGTCAGACTGGTGTAAATTCCTTCCTTGGGTAGAGTATGCCCATAACAGCCACACATCCACCGCCACTGGCTACTCTCCCTTTGAGGTCTCCTTAGGCTACCAGCCCCCCCTTCTTCCTTCTGATGAGAGATTAATCTCTGTCCCATCGGTTGACAGCCATGTTCGTCGCTGCCGACAGTTCTGGGCTGAGACCGTCCAGGCTCTTCACAGAACTGCCGAACAGAACCGCAGATTCGCTGACCGGAAAAGAATACCAGCACCTCCCTATCGTGCCGGCCATTGAGTCTGGCTGTTCACCCGAGACTTACCCTCCAGATCGACCCCCCGCAAACTGGCACCCCGCTTCTCCGGGCCTTTTACTATCGAATCCATTGTCAGTCCCACAGCTGTCCGTCTTCGCCTCCCCACACACTCCCGAGTGCACCCAACGTTTCATGTGTCCCAAATTAAGCCTGTGCTCACCAGCACGTTGTGCCCTCCGGCCGTTCCCCCTCCGCCCTCCCAGGATCTTCAGGGCTGCCGGATCCGGCGGATCGTGGCCTCCCGTCCTCGGGGTAGGGGTTGCCAGTACCTCGTCGACTGGGAGGACGGCGACCCCCAGGACCGATCGTGGGTGCCCGGCTCTGCCATCACAGATCAGTCCCTGATCGACGACTTCCTTGCCTCTCGCCCCTCCACGTCTTCCTCTGGGTCGCCGGGTGGCGACCGTTGAGGGGGGGGTGGTGTCAGGGCTCTGCCTCTCTCTCCCTTCTCTGCAGGTGGCTGGAGCTGACAGGTGGGCGTGGTACACACCTGTGGCTTGTTCAGCGGCGTGCGGCTCAGCTATTTAAGCAGCACTTTGACAGCTGATGGACGCCAGAGTGTTAACCTTGTTGGTACGCTTAGAGGCCTCTGTCTGTGACAGCTTACCTTTTTCTCAGCGCTAACCCAAGTCTCCTGTGTTTCCCAGGTCTTTTCTCCTTGTGAAAACCGTTCCAGTGTTTCCTCGAGCTCCGACGTCTTCAGTGGAAGTTCTCCGGTTCAGACTGTTCTGGATCTACCTCTGAATAATCCCTCCAGCTCCCTTGGTGGTACCAAGCCGGGCTGGAGAGCCCTTCAAGCCCTTCTGGTTCCATCAGCTGCCCCCGGATTCCTCCTCGGCCGCTGCTGCTCGGGCCCCTCCTCACAGATTTCAATCACCTGCCCACCTGTCGCTCAGTCACCTGCCAACTTCTCGGGAGGTTCCTCAGTGAGTCCGTCTCTCCACTCCCCCCTGCCCGGTTCCTTCATCCGGCGGTAGGTTTATTTTACGTTTCCCCTATCTCGTTCTCCCTATCTCTGTGTCTAACTTTGGCTCTCACCGCAGATCGATCAGTCCTGCCTGCGCTGATAGTCCACCTGCTCACCGTGCCGCAGCTCCCAGTGTTTGGTTCCCTCGCTGTTTAATTAAACGTCTGAAAATTGCTCTTGCCTTCTGTGTTGGTTCTGCATGTGGGTCAAGCACCTCAAAACCATGACAGCATGGAGTCACAGATTAACAGCGATGGTGATGCGTGGAAAAAACCACCTGGTCTCCTTACATTCACCTCCCTCAGCCACTCTTTCATCATCTCCTCAATGAGGAGATGAGGAGTTTTGCATAAAGAACATACCTGTTCATTTATACACAATCCACGCCCACACTTCCCCCTTTAACGTTCTCATCGTGGTCGCAAACGTTCGCAGTAACAACACACATAGGGCGCACCACACTATAGGGCGCGCCGCACATTTTGAGGGGAAAAAAGACGTTTATATGTGCCTTATAGTCGTGAAAATACGGTATAAAGAAATTATAAACTAGAATTGTAGAAAACTTTTTCTTTAATAGGGCAGTGCAATTACCAGTATAAAGTTTAACGCATCTGTCCGTAACATTTTTTTCCTACATTACTTTTACTTTTATACTTTAAGAAGTTTTAAAAATTGTACTTTTACAAGTTGATACTTACTTCTACCAAAGTGTTGTTATACAGTAGGATCTATACGTCTACTTAAGTAATATACATAATACTTTTGACACCTGTTTTTTTTGCAGCCTACTATCATTTGAACCTTGTAACAGGCCTTATTTACAAGAGAACAGATTGTCTCTAAAGCTGGACTTTGAACTCAAATATCTGCTGGATTACTTTGAAAAGGCATTATGTGAGAGGTTTAGGAGACTGTTACAGCTATTGATATTAGGTAAGCAAATTAAGAAATCTTAAGAAATCGTTGCAAACTGAATGTATAATCTTTATTGTCCTCATCTTAAAATGAAATTTAGCTTCAAAGTTTATTTGCATTAATGAAATACATCTGTTTCCTTTTTTGACATTGTAGGAGCCATGACTCTGATTCATTTCTGTGGTATAATTACATTCTCTCTAAACCTGATCCTTTTTGCATCACATTGCAATGGAGGAAACATACTGGTGTTCCCTGTGGATGGGAGCCACTGGATTAATATGAAGATAGTGCTAGAAGAACTTCATACCAGAGGACACAACATCACTGTGATCAGATCTTCTAACAGTTGGTACATTCCTGAAAAATCCCCCATATACACATCCATCACACTTGAAATGGACCAAGGTTTAGAGAACTTTTTTGACATTTATCTTCAGGAACACATGAGGGTATGTATTTATGAATACAGGGGAAGTATGTCTGTGCATTTACTGATATGTATAGTTTTTGTGACATAAAAAACACAACTTGATCAATAATTTTTAAGATTTTTTTTCCAGCTTTAATGTAAAATCTGTCTTGCTTAATTCAAATGATGGAGGGGGACTAAAAATCATTTTGGCATACGTGTTTATATGTTATTTTTAACTGCCTTTTGTTCTAATTTTATTTAGTTTTTGTTGGTAAATGTATGCCATTATTTTTCATTCATCCTTGCAGAAATTAATCAAATTTGTCACATTACAAGGACATCTCTTGTCAACAGCTCTCTTTGAGTGACCTCATCTGTCAGTTAGATTTAAACCCTGATTTAATCCTTTTAAAAATGTGATGTTCTTAATGTAAATATATATTATTTTGCTATATTTAATATATGCTTGGATTCTCTATTTTTGTGTGAGCTGGATGCTGTTAATGTTTTGGTAGATGTCTCTTTTAGAATTGTTGTTTAGAAGTTCAACTTTAATCCATCTATAAAATATAAAATAGTGTTTTTGGAGCCCTTTTACCCAGACTTTCTTTATGTTCTTTCTTTAGGTTTTATATCCTTTTAACCTCTCTTTAATCTATTTGTTAAGCACAGGGATGCAGAAAACTCCAACAGATTAGGAGAAGTTTCTATTAGAGTTAAACAACTCTCTGTAATTAAAGGAAGATAATTACCTAAATAGATCGAATATTACAATTAAAATAAAAAAGATGGTTCCTCATCAGTGTATGTATAAGGCTTTAGACACCTATGCAAGCAGGATATTGCGGCTTTCATTTTTCACTAGTTTCCTTTTGTTTCCATATTGAATTGCAGAGGATATATTCCATATTAAAGAGTATAAGATTTCTAATGATGATATTTATTTTTATTGTCTCAGTTTTTTAATCAGACAGAGTCCTTGCGTATTAATAGCCATATGTAGACCTTTTGCATTTCACTAAGTCATGCTTGTACAATTTAATTACATTTTTTTATGTTTTATTTTAGGCACAGCGAGAAGGAGCTTCATTGATGACATTCTTGAAGCTCACCAAGGATTTTCTCTCTATGATTACCAAAGCCAATTTACTGTGGTGTGATGCAACAACTCAAATTTTTCAAAATCAGACTTTGGTTAAAAAGTTAAAAGATTCCCAATATGATTTGGTTCTTGCTGATCCAGCCATGGGTCCAGGGGCTTTGATAGCCAAACATCTTAAACTACCTCTGGTCCTTAATGTCCGCTGGATAACTAGTGGAGAGGGTCACTTTGTGCTGGCACCTTCACCGCTCTCTTACATCCCAGTGCCTGGATCTGGCTTAACAGACAAAATGGATTTCATCCAGAGGGTGAAAAACATGTTTTTCTACAGCATTGTATTTTTCCAGGAGAAATTCCTTATAGGACCTATATATGCTGATCTGTGCAATAGACATATCGAGGGAGGATGTGACATTGTGTCTTTGCTTCAAGATGCTGACATTTGGCTATTCAGGTCTGATTTTGTGTTTGAATTCCCCCGGCCAACAATGCCAAATGTTGTCTACATTGGTGGGTTCCAGTGTAAGCCTGCTAAGCCGCTTCCAGCGGACCTGGAAGAGTTTGTTCAAAGCGCTGGAGAGCATGGATTCATCATTATGACTCTGGGAACTTTGGTCAATGCTTTACCCAAAGAGGTTACAGATGAAATTGCCAGTATTTTTGCCAAGATGCCCCAAAAGGTAACTTATACATTTTTTTTTCTTCATAGTTTGTGTTGATTTACAATCAGGTGATCCAAAATGTCTATGTAAAACAGTGAATAAATGCTGTATAATAGCATTGCTTTGGAGACTGGCTACAGTAAACTGGCACTATATCCAAGAATTCAAAATCTTTCAGTCTTACCCCTTGCTCACACTGGCTCCGGTGCGGTTACCGAGCCGACGGAGACCGCAACTCACGCACACCCCCTCTCACACCGCCCTTTTGACTGCGGTGCGGTGCGGCTCTGCTGCTCCGGCAACAGGTCCGGAGATTTAACTCGCGAGAACAGAAGTTCACTTGAGTTCACGTAACTTCACGCGATAACACGGCCCAAATAAGGATATTTGCGAGAGCTTGTTGCGGAGGGCTCCGGCACGCCGCAAGGATAGCTTTCTTGCTGAATTTTCTGCAGCGCCGGAGTGTCTCGGTAACCGCAGCCGGACAGCTCAGCAGCCGGTGAGAGAGGTTTACGTCTTTTTAATGACTTGGAATCACTGCGGCGCCGCACCCACCGCACCGCAACGGTAAGACCGGAGTCGGCGTGAGCCGGGTCTTAAGCCTTTTCTTCCAGTAATTCACCATGATAATTAGCCTGATAAACCAGACTAAATGTGAGATTAAATGTGTAATTTAGTGGAACGGATAAATGAGACATCTGAAGATTGTTGATGAGAACAACCCGTTGTTTTACAAACCGCTGTCTGTGCCTATTGGCTAACGCTCTGACCAATGAGCGCAACAGACTGTGATGTAGGAAGCGCTACAGAAAGCTGGTGGGGGAATGTAAACAAACAGCCTGTCGGTAAAGCGGCGAATATGTCCTTCTTAAAAATGAATGGGCGTAGAGCCTCTTCCTGCTCACGTTTTTACGAAAACCCCAAGTCTAATCCTTCCAAAAATGACTGATTCCAAAGCTGAGTAAAAAAATTGCCATCAGAGTCAGCAGTCCTTTACACAAGAGAGAGGGCCGCTGCAGACGGGCCGCGGTTAGCCCTGGCTGCTGTTAGCCTTGAAGCTTTACTGGTTGCCGCGGTCCTTCCAACTTCGGCAATTGTTTTTTAATTATGCATTAAATTGGTAAATGGACCATATAGTGACGCTTTAAAGTATAGTATTCTCGCCTCAAATGGTTTTAAAACATACTTTTTTTGAACAACAGCAATAGAAAAGAGAACTTTTGACTTTCAATGAAACACTCCATTGAAAGCTGCTGCTGCTGCAGTGCACGCTACCGTTCAATAGTTGTTGCCATCTTCCTTGTTGTGCTTTCTCCAGCGTCCCGCAGCTTTGTTGTCACGCTCTCAAAACCCCACCCGCCTTGTATATCCAAAAATTCAAAACACATCTCTGCGTTGTGATTGGCCCTCCAGTTCTAGGGCCTGGGGCATTGATCGAGGCTAGACCACTTGCACGCAAAAATAATTTTGGCCGCTGGCGGGTGGGGATAGTTCACTAGGCTACATGATGATAATAAAAAGACACTTTTCTGAAAAATTTTCACACAAGAATTTTGCACCATTCAGATATTCATTAATATTTTGCTGGTTTTGAGCAATAAAAATGTGCACAGGCTTTTCTCAGCATTTTCCTCTTAAAAGTTGTGTTACCAACTGTTAAGATCAACAGTTGGTAACACAACTTTAAAACTCCAATTTATGGAGCCATGAAGATTAGAACAGAAGCTAAGCTGCTATAGGATTAAGCATTTTCTTTGTAATCTTGTTTGTGCAGAAGCTTTACATCCTCTGTGCTTTCTCTGATCAGGTGATTTGGAGACACAAAGGGACACGTCCCTCTACTCTAGGCAATAATACCCTGATCGTAGACTGGATGCCACAAAAGGATCTCCTTGGCCACCCAAACATCAAGGTCTTCGTAGCGCATGGAGGAACAAATGGAGTCCAGGAAGCCATTTATTACGGAGTTCCAGTACTTGGCATTCCCTTGTTCTTTGACCAGTATGATAACCTTCTACGTTTGCAGAAAAGAGAAGCAGCAAAGGTTATTCTACTAGATAATGTTAATGGTCCTAATTTTGAAAAAGCAATCAAAGAACTGCTCTACAATGACAGCTACAGGCAGAATATGCAAAGACTGTCAAGTTTACACAGAGATCAGCCAATGCCTCCCATGGATCAAGCTACTTTCTGGATAGAGTATGTGATACGCCACAAAGGGGCCACTCACCTGCGTACACAGGCTTACAAGCTACCCTGGTACTCATATCATTGTTTGGATGTACTGGTCGTTTTGATTGCTGTTATAATGGGGCTTCTATTCCTTGTTTTTGCTGTTTTTAGATTTTTGTTCTGTAGAGGAGGGAGAAACAGAAAACTGAAGCAATATTGACAGAATGATAGCTTAATTGGATTAATGTCGTATTAGGAATTGCTTTCAACTTCAGGTACCTTCTACAGTCCCCACTGGAAGAAAGCATTCACCCTTGAAGCTTTTCAAATTTTTACACACCAATTTAAACAGGAGAGCAAACTTGCAAAAATTTGCATTTCATTCCTGCAGATCAATTATAGGTTTAAGTGCTTTGCAGGATGTAAATGCTCTTAAGTATTATGGTACTTATAGTATTGTTTGGATGCACTTATCTTATTTGTGACAGCAGTAAGTCTCAGTTGCTGTACTACTTTTGTCTTTACAAATTTATCCTACACAAGAGAAAGTAAAAAAAAATAACAAAGCAACAGAGCTAGTTTTAGTTAATGTTGTTAAGAAATATAGTAAGTTTTTAAAATTAATTTAGTAAAAGCAAAACAAACATTTTTTCACCATATTCCTTTTTGGGAGAAAACATGAAGAATGTTTTCAAATTCATAATTTTGCAAATCCTTTTCACTGCTTTTCCTGTCCAGTGCTATGGTCAAAGGTTCAAGTGAAGTCTTAAGGTACATTCAAACTCAACACGATTCCAGCGACAAAGTCGGCACATTCAGGTGCCTGTCGCTCGCCTAACATATTGCCATCAATCCACATGAAGGGTTACAGCTATAGGTGTGTCTCCACTCCTGTCATTTTACCACGTTATCAATAAGAAGTTGTAAAACTAATTATTCATTTTTAAATAGATAAATAATACATTTAATCATTTGATTGTACATCAAATGATACATTTACTGATATCATTTTACATAAATTTTTTTCATTGTACATTTTTTTATATCATAATTTCCATACATTTATTTGATGACATCTTTATTATTTTGTTTTGTTCCCTTTAACCCTCCATACAGGAATAACCTGTTTACATATAGTATCTAATTTGAGCGTGGTAAGAGGAAGCTCACAAACCTTATCAGGTTTTGTCTTAATCTCACTCAGTCTGTTCTCTGCTTTGGCTCTGTTCCTGTCCCTGTCTTGCCTCAGATTGCTTTTTTTTTTATCCTTCCTGTCATTGTTGTCTAATGAAATCACATTACTGTGTGGAAAAAATAACACTTGAGGGGCTTAAAACAAGCAAGCAAGCAACTGCCTTCAAAGACGATATCCAACAACTACTGTGCAAATGATAAGGGGAAATGATTTAATGGGGGATTGATTTAAAAGCTGTAGAAATGTAAAATATCACATAAGTGATGTTAAAACTGTAAAAAGTGGAAATGATCATCAAACAACAAGATTATTTAAAAACAGTAACATTTGTAACACTTTTGAAATCTAACATTACGTCACAATTTTGAGTCTATTTTTATGCATGTGGATTTTAAAAAATATATCTTTTTCCATTCACTTCACATTAATGCAGTAATTTGGTTTTTAATGGAATAACAACAAATATAAAACGGATAAAAATGTTTTTGCAATGCACTGTTAAATCAACATATTGATGAAAAAAACAACAATGCATTGATATGTCACTGTTTTAAGTCAAATAATATTTTCATATAAATAAGAGTAGGGATCATCTGATGTATTTTAATTTCCTAAACTTTATCATTTGTTGGTTATAAATGATGCAATAGTGGAATCTGTTGTTTGTATTTTGGTCTACTTAAGGTTAGATTTAAACCTATTGGAAGCATTCTTTGTTTATACATAAAACCTTTAGGTTTGTCAGAGGTTTTGTTGAGACTCATATTATTTTACTAATGCATTCATCTCCACAACTGATCAATATACATTTTAAGTATTTTTTTCCGCACTCATGGTGCATTGAAACAATAAATGCAATAAAGTGTTATGACTATCTAATTTCATTGCTTGTCCTTCACTTTAGATGTTATAAGACTTAGTCTTGCCTTTAACCTTATTATATAAAATGCATAAGTTTAATCATTTCCAAAAACTGTGATCAAAAAATGACTTTTATATTTATAAATATAAAAGATCCATTCAAGATGACATGCTAATGAGGCGCTTTATATAATTGCCTCGGGACTTGATGCTCCCAAAGGGCATCTTCAAGGCATGACATCATTCTCTCCACAGACACAGATCATGTTCTCTTCTCTCTCTCTCTCTGCACAAATAGTTGCCAGAGGCACATGTGGTTCCACTTATCTGCACTATAAAGCCTTCTCTATAGTTTTGTTTAGGCAGATGTTGCTGTCTGTTCAGTGTTGGAGAACATCGACATACTTGAGAAATGGGACATTTTCCCAAACACGAGGGTAACATTTGCTGTTATAGGAAAATAGGATGGGAACGGCTTTGCATGAGTAGTAACTTCATTTCTTTATTTTCTCTGAGAAAAATATGTTTATATTTCCAGCAAACGTATGCTTTTGAAATACACTTTTAATAAATGAAAAACATACAACCAAACAGATAAAAAAAAAGTAGCACCCAATCGCTGTTTATCATAGTGTTATTTAGCCTTTAATGCCTCATTAGGAGAATGTAGAATTTGTTTGCTTGGAAATCATTAAATAACAAATTTTTCATAGGGAGATAATATTGACTATTTTGGAAATGTTGCTTCTCTAAACTTTAGGGCAATGTTAAAACACCTTACACTTAATTTTTTTAAAATTTTGGATAGAAATCTTAGGATGTGTTTTGCTGATCATTACATAATTAATTAATGAATAAAGCATTGTTAAAAATATATAAAATGTATTTGTTAAAACTAGGTTTCTTTTTTTTTCATATTTTTTTATGTTTATTTTCATCTAATATACCAGTAAAGATCTTATTTTGAAAGGTTTACCCTTATGTTATTCATTAAACATTTGTAAACATTAATAAGTGAAAGCCTAGTAATATAAATTTTTATATTTAAGTTACCTAATAATAATAATAGGATTTTTAAAAATAGTTCACTTTGTATCCTAAGATATCAGGCAAGATAATAATTTACTTTTTGCCATGAAATGTGACGGCGTGTCTATCTTGATTTTTTTAAACAAAATTTATAAAACCAAATAAAATCAAATCCTTCAGCTTTGGATTTACACTAGTCATGCATTTTGAGTTATTTGGAAATCCTCTTCGGTCACAGTTCATCAATCACAAAGTAAAATCTGGATGGGACATTGCTCTTGTCTCAACAGAAACTCCCCTCAGGCTTCATAAATTTTTGATTTGCCGCTATGGTTGGCTGGTTTTAATTTAAAGTAGAAGTATAAACAGCAAAGCTGTCTGGCATTGCACTTGGAGGGGAAGAATGTATGAAATCTTTGGATCACATTCTGGGAGATGGATTACATTATGGTTCAGAGGGACCACAAACCATGTATCATACAAGCGCAACTTGGTGGTAATAAAAAAAGTCCTTGAATGGATATTGCATTCATGTAACACCTTGTTCAGCATTTATATGTGGATATTTATTTAGATGGACACAAGACACATTTGCAGAGACATCACAATGCTCTCTTACAGTGTGTGGCACATTACAGAGTTACTTTAATTTTCCTTAGTGTTACCTCTGCAAATACTTCATTTGTGAAATTAACCAGTTTAGGTCCGGTATGGGTAATGCATTACTGATGGACTGTTAAATAACAAAATGTGATTTAAATGTGCACCATCAAAACCCTGGATGTCCTGGTCAGAGTTTTTATGGCCAAATTAAGTGGGAATTTTGTCTTCATGTCTTCATTGCCCCTTCCCTCCCATCCGATTTTTTCAAAGAATTATTGAAGACAAGTCAATAGCAGGAAATTAAAAATTGCAGTATAGTAAAATCTTCTTTAAATCACAGATCTACCACTTTTAGTGTGTAATAATTCTAAGATATATGTTTGTTTTTTTTACTATGTAACAAAATTCAAAATTGCTGTCAACACATAAAAAAAATCTCAAAATTATTAAAGCCTCACCTTTATTAAAGGCACACTATGCAACATTTTTCAGTTAATTAATGTGTTCCATAACGTTATGGATGATTAAATGATTAATTTCAGGTTGAACAAAGGTATTCTCGGCCGCCCTGGTGGTCTGTGGGGGAAATACCGCACTTGCAATTGCAGGAGCACCGACCCGCACCCACAGGCTCAGAAGTCTCGTGAGAGTCAGTCTTGCTTTACGGCGAGAACTGCTACACGCCCCCAGTTAAAAGCATTCTCGTTGCTAGCACAGTGGCGATCTTTGTGCAGTTATGCTACGTTCACGCAGCAAAAGCAGCAAAATCGCGTCTGCTGCTTCATTTTTGCTGCTTGTACCAGTTAGTTCTGACGCGCGGCTGAAGCAGCTTTGCTGCTCTGGCTGCGCGGTGCAAAAGTCTGACGCGCTTTGGGCGGAGCTTCACTATCCTTTCTCTGCCTTGCAGCTATATTTGCTGTGATCAGTGGGAATAAAGTAGTTTTAATATGTGTTTAAGTGAGAAAATACACCTGAAAACGTAATCAGTGCCGTCAGTTCATTCAGATTATTATCCTGCCTTCAATATTTTTTCTGTCGGAGCCGCTCAGACCCCCACATACCAGCGGTGCGCCGACAGTAGGGATCCCTTCATCAGCAGCCTCTGGCCTGGTCGCCTCCTCGCGGTTCACCACGGCAGCTGGTAGGTGTTTTTCATCTAAATAATCCAAACTGCATATTCTGCCGGCAGATTTCTGCATTTTAAGTTAATTTAGGCGTCAATAAACTGTTTAAGAGGAGTGATCATCAGCGCTGTGTTTCTCTCCCTGCGTCAGATGCTTGAACGCGCCCGATGCGCTGCTTCAGCTGCTCAGACGTGCTGCGCCTGCTGCTCAAAACGCGCCGCGGGACCTTTTGCTGCGCCTTGACGTTACGTTGCATGTAAACTCGCTGCTTCTGTCGCGCCAGCTGCGGTGTGAACGCAGCATTAGTCATTCGTTGCGTTCGCCTGTCTGCTAAGCTCAAAACAACCGCGCCTGGCTTGACGGAGAAACCAGGAGAACAGCTGTGCATATTTACGACAGTGCACTTTTACTTTCGCCCTCTGGGGGGAGCCTCGCTGGAAAATCAACACCGGTTGCATAGTGTACCTTTAAAGTCACACCTTTACGATTTAGACCTGCTTTTGCCTGACATACGAAAAATCCAGCAAAAACGGTTGTATACATTTGATTAGTTATGGGTACGCTTTGTATAAGTGACAAGCACATACAAACATAAATTCTGGACATAAATTCGGGACTCCTTATGAATATGCTATTCATACGCCCAAAATTGACAAAATACATAGAAAGTTCAAGGTATGCCAATTAGGTCAGAAGTAAGCTGCCATTGGCTAATTTTGCAGTACAAACTTTATAAATAATAGCATCACAAAGTAACATGCTAGAAAAAGAACTAGTAGGTGTCCAGTTTGGGATTTGCATGTAATATAGCAATGTCTTTCTATGTCAGAGATATACCAGTTAAAATTTTAGCTTGATGGAAGTAAAAGTCGGTTAATGTAAGACCTGCTTAGTTTTCATTACTCAAAAAAATCTCAATTTAAAGAAAAGAAGCAGTGCTTTCAAGTACAGTACCTTTGTGTAATGCTCATAAGCCTGAGTTAATTGGAACTTCAGACCAAATATTTTATAAAGAAGAATCCTTCCTAAGTAATAACTTAACTTTTGTGAGTTTTTGTACCAGGATTGTTGACATGCATCATGAAATCTCCATAATTCATTAAGATTGCTAATAACTATAGAACCTCCTACAGGTAAACCTATGTAGCTGATTACATTTAAGGTACTTAGGTAAGTATTAGCTGCTTCTGAACCTCTACGTTGTTTTGACACATACTCCATGTGGAATGATTTCTATTACAGTTTCTCAAGGTAATGCGTTTAACTACTGATGTGACTTTAATCAGTGTTGCTATTTCTGTTGGAAATACACTAATTTGCTTTCTAGCTAGCTAGAACTGAATATTTGTAAAGTATCTCTTGCAAAACTCTTGCTAAAATGTTCTATAAAAAATGATTAAACTTAGTGTTTCGGCCTTACCTACAAAGTTTTAAGCTGATCAAAAGTGTAATATTGAAAAGGCAAAAAAATAAAAGTTACAGATATGATCATAAGGACTGTACAAGATAAGAAACATTTGTATAATTAGCCATTATCCAACCTATGCAATGCTTTATCAACCCGGAATTGGGTGACATGAAGCTTCCGTTTGTCTGATCAAATGTAGGTGTTAGAAACCAAAACAGATTGATGATGAGAATGTACCATGTCCATAGATGCAAGTAATTATATGTAAGGGAATTGTTATAATCGTAATGGTTGAAGCTACTAAAAGTCTAAAATTTATGGTACGTGCAAACAGTTTCTAAAATATTCTTTGTTGATCAGGTCTGTGTCTGGAACAACTTGCGATTCATTCCTCTAGATAAATGACACCAAAAAACAATCAAAATTTTGATTTTGATTGCATTTTGCTGTTGGCCCAATATATCAACAAATAAATCCACAAAAGACAGATTAACTATAGTTGCAATTTTATCCAAGTGATTTTAAAACACTTTATTATTGTAAATTAGTTGATAATATATGGCTGTGTTCAAATGTCCGCACTAAACCCTAACCCCTTTTCACTATATAGAGCAGGGACTATATAGTAGACTTCATAATGTACTCAGTTAACTGACCATTTGGACAGATGACCACTACTTCTTGCTTTCCGTTGGTCACGTGACTTTGACTCCTGGCAATGTGCCATATTTGTTTTCTCTCGCCCCCAAAACAAATCCCATGAGGCTTTGTGAGAAGAGCAGAGTGTTGAGTGTTATATTTGCTCAACTAATAACCATCAACGTATATTATTTTTCAAGGTGCATTGTGGGAAATTTGAGCCCCATACTTTTTCATCCACTAGACACTCATATAAAATGGTCTACCCCCTATAAAATGTTTTATATAAGGTTTAGAGCGCACATTAAGACATAGCCTATGACTTTTGTGTTTTGAGAGCAAATGGTTTGTTTGCCAAATATTTCAGGTAATATCAAAACAATATGGGACAGTGTTTACTGCACTCAAAACAGCTTTAATATAACATGGAAAAACAAACGAAGAAGAGTCTATTCTGCCAGTTATAACATGAATTGCTTTTACATTTTTTTTTTTTATCTTTTCTTCATGCAAACATGATGATTTAATTAGGAAGAAGAGAAAGTTTGGTTTTCAAAATGAAAGCTCTTTAACCAACTTAAAAAATGTCAAATTACTTAACTATAACTATCATTTGGAGAATAACATATTGATATCAACACACTGTTTGTCATGATATTAAACGCTTTCTTTTATACAACACTAATTAAAAAGCCTCCCAAATGTCTTTACAATATGAAAGTAACAAATTATTCTTTGTAAAAGGAGTAATCTTTGCCTAAATGTATCCCTTTCTTACATTTCAGATTTACAGTATTTTTAAAATGCAGCCGCCATTAATAAGTATTTTAATTTCATTACAAAACAATACCACATCATGCCTACCACAAAAGACTGGTTTAGATTATGTTACGACAACAAAATTATAAGATTCACTTGGCTAATCTATATTAGTTCACAATTTGAAAGGAGCTCAACCAGGAGCACTGAAATTGTCTTTTTTAAATCACTCCTTTGGTTTGTTATGGCGCTTGACCGGCCTTGCTCTTCTCTTTATTCCAGCTGTAATAGATTAGACAGCACAATTTAGGGGAATGTGTCATGAACACATGGAAAAAGCATTGAGTGGAGGATATCAGGTAAATAAGCCTGACGGAAAACAATATTTACAGATTGTTTTTAAAAAAATTTTTGTAGTCATGGTCCTACCTGGTGCCCTCCTTGCTGCAGCAAATCCTCGTCCACCTGTATAGTGACATGCAACTTTGTCAGTTATATAGGGAACATATGGTAGTAAAATTTTTACAGAGTTGTAGTTAAAGGCTTTTACCTTGAATGAGCTTGGTGATTTTGTCAGATTCCTCCTTCAGCAGAGCTGGATTTTCACCGATTCTTTTTATGTTAGACAAATCTGGGACTGAAAGACCAAAAAATCTCTGAATTATACTAATACATAGATGATTACTAAACTTCTATAAATATAGATTTATGTGCAGTTTTTATTTATTTATTTATTTTTTTACAAGGAAACAAGTATGTTGAAAATCTATTTTTATGGGGGGGGGGACCTTACCTGAAATGATCTGAGGCTCTGTCATTGTGGTGATAGTTATTTCGCCTTTAAATACAGAGTGAGAAAGAGGATTTTGAGCCATTTAACAAAAGTTGTTTTGTTCAGGGCTAGATTATGAAAAATATTTTGTCTGGCATTAATTACAGACATACAGTGCCATAAAACAGAACATGAGCCTCCAAATATATCTTCTTCAGGCTATTTTTTTTGTCTTTGCTTTTTCCCCCACAGTTAAACATTTAATAGCATCACACAAACATTAGTATTGGACAAATTTAACCAGTATATATTTTAAAAAGAGGTATAAAATGGTAATTGTATATGTAAATTTGACTCCTAAACTCAACTTTACTAGTTGTGTCAAACATGGGGGCAAAAACAAGGCAAAACATTTTTAAAGTAACTTTAAGGATGTTTTTATGTAGCTGTGCTGGAAGTTTGGACCACTTTTCTTTGGAGACATTTCAAAGGTTTGATTTAGATACATTTAGATAGCATGAAAGCCTGTTTAAAGTTTCTCTACTGCATCACAAAAACAGATTTAAACCCAGAATTTGACCCTGCCACTCCAAAAATCGTGATTTTTTTCAGTCATTCAGAGGCTGACTTGTTACATTTTTTTAGAGCATTGTAGCTCCACATATCAAAAAGTAGCAAGTAAGGGGCTCATTCTTAATTAGAATAATTAATAATTAGAATGGAATTAATGTTTTCTCCAAATGCAAAAATGTTTCCAGGCAGTGAACCAGCAAACTAGCCCCATAAAATCAAACTGCCACCATGTCTGATGTCTGGTATGATGTTAGGGGCCACACCTTCCAGAAAGTCCAGCTTTGGTCTTTTGTGTCTGAGATATTTCATAAAATGTTTTGGGGATAATCAATATACTTTCTGACTCTGGTCAAGAGGACTGAAACCAGCTACCCTCAATTTAACTGATGTCTAACAGAAAAATGCAAAGATGTATTTTATCATTAAGCAGGACTGAAAAAGTTTGATTTTAGATTTAGGCCGAATACAATGTTTAATAAAGGGACAACTTACCTGTTTCTGTCTTTCTTTTATTTGTTCTATCTTCTCCACCTGCATTAAAGCACATACAACTAATGAGCAGAGCTACAGATTTCTAACTCCTCCTTTGATTTGGACCCACATTAATAAATGCATTTTCTTCATGTGCATGCTTTTCTTGGCGTACCTCCAATAATTCTTGTAACCTTGCTGACGGAAGGCTGTCGGCCAATGACCCTTGTAAATTTTGTGGTCTTACTTCCTTCAACAACAACCTTTTTTGAAACAGGTGTTTCTGTTTTTATCACTCTTGTCACTTGTTTGGTGGATGGCTTGGTTTCGATTTCTGTAATAGTAATTGTTCCTCTTTCTGGTACTAAAATAAAGATGACAAAAATGTAATAAGGTTACAAATAAAAGCCACATACTACAGTTTGAAAATGTAATTTAGATTTCTCTAATCCTGCTTTTTGTAGCAGCACTCATAGCCGTAAAAGTATTCATTTCTACTTTCTTTCTTATGCGTCTTGCGGTTTATGTTTTTTTTTTCTATTAAGGGGGACCTTTTCTCAGAACGTTTTGAAGAACTGTCTTACATAAAGTGTCAGACACTGAGATCCCTTGTTATATCTGTCGGCATCCAAAGATCCCAAGCATAACTTAAACTTAAAACTAAAAACTTTGGCCCAGCTTTTTCTTCAACACAAAACTCCAAGAAAGAGGTGTCCAAAGAACGGACATTTGAGGCCCTGCGGCGATTTATGTCAGCCCTTGATTGCATTTCAAAAACGGCATACTGGCTCGCCAGTTTGGACAGTTGATGCAGACACATGTTGAAAAGCATGCAACAGTGCACTTTTTAAGTATTATGAGGTCTTTCAAAAATTTATATAAATAAAAATTGTATTAAAATGTAAAATCTATTGTGCACAAGGAATGATTCATTCTCTATCGGTCAATTCTTTTTGTTTTTGCTTTTAATTGAATTTAACAGTAATTTTTTTTTTCCTTAGTGTATACATTGGTCTAATTAGGACCAATGTATACGCTAAAATATTTACTTAGGGGAGATCATGTATGAAACTTAATGAAAGAAAAAATGAACTCCTTGCTCTCCCTTTTGCTGAAATTCCACAAAACAAATCTAGAGAAATGACCTCAAATCTAGAATATTATTCATAGTTTTGTTTTCTTCAGCTGGCATATAGCAAGCCATTCGAATCTATATCTATTTACAGTTAATTTTTCTACAAAGATCAGCCCACTTTAAATGTATTATCAAAATCTTTTGGGTTTTTATGGGTATGAAGGAGAAACATATTCAGGCTATTAAAAAATATTTTTCCAAATTTTGTGATTCCAGAGTACTTTTAAACTTGACTCTTTTTCCCAAATTTCAGTAGGTTTGGACACAACTAGTATAAATCAATGTCTTCATTACAGAAACATGGCAGGTATCTGTTTATCTCCTGACCTTGCTTTGAGTTTAAACATAAAAATGGCTTAGTTTTGTGTAGAAGACCATATATAATCCTGTAACATGCATTCAACTTTATGAGTTCATTTTAAAAGCATTTCATGGTTTTCATCCTTTGATTAATACATAGTCTTTATATTACTAGACTTGAAAGTGAAATGGGGTCTACATTCATCCTCTTCTCATCTTATATCTCTAGAATTATAATACGGTCAACTGAATAAGCTACAACACAACACCTGCCAGAAACCCAACTTTAACTTATGATCACATTTTATACAACAATGTTTATTGGGCCCATAAAGGAATCACAACGGCCGTCTAATATGTGGCCTGAAGCGTTTTGGTACAAGGCCGACATTTGTAATAAAAAAACAAAGTAATATTTGCTCTTTGAAATTAAATAAGAAAAACCAAGACAATATAGAAAAAAGCATTTAATTCTTTAAACTCTGGCTCTGGCATATATTAAACAAGACTCATTATGATATTGGCAGCAAAGTATTATAGCATGAAGGTGTTTATAGCCCCTGAACTTTATCCCTGCTTGTTAGGCCCCAACCAAAGAATTCTGTCTATTACCGTGTTTTATGTAATAGTCAAATGCAATGCGGAGCTTTACTGTCAAATTTGGTGGGAAGGGGAAATACGTGTTTTTTCTTTAACAAGACATACCTGAAAAATGCTTCATGCATGTGTTCAGCCTGGCCTGATTGTTTTCGCAAAACCACCTTTCACTGCAACAACAGCTGCGAGTATTGTAGGACAGATTTTCTTTAAAAGCGTTGCACATCTTGAAGCAATACCTTTCACTCAATTTCTCTCCAAAATAGCTATAGATCAGTCAAGGTAGATGGTGAAAGACTGAAGATCAAGATAGAAAGCTTTTGTCTCAGTATAAAGCTTCTCACAGGTTTAATCCAGGATTTGTTTATCTCTATAAAGCTCCTAATCAACTCTGAATACCTTTGCTGCCTCTGTTAAAAAAAACAACAACATTTGCATGGTGTTAATTCTGCAACAAAATTGATTACTATGGAGATGGTGTGTTTTAGGGGGTGTTAAGTGTTTTGCATGTATTATAATGTTGTTGCTTAGCTATTGAGCTATTTGATTTTTCTTCCTTTAAAAACAGCTCCATTGACATGGAGATTAAATTACATTTGGGTTGATTTAAATTAGTAATTAGTTGCCATTGCAATTGTTTAACACAAATCATCATCACAAGTAAAAGGGTATGAATAAAAAATATATGTCTCACTTGTACCTGTGCAAATTGAAATAAATATATTATGAATTTTTATTTGTGCTCCACATAAAATCCTGATGCCTTACACAGAAATCAAACGTCTGCTTTATATACTGAAAAAAAAAAGGAACCCACAACAAAAACCATGAAACCTTATAAAGTCTTACAAAACAAACTCTGAGAAAAAAAAGACGAACTCCAAGTTTCTGAGGCCCGAAAACAACAGTCATGACGGTTCTAAAAAAATGTGTGAAATACTTTTTAAACAAATATATATGTGATTAGTAGTGTATTAAATTGTTGTTTTCTTTCTTTTGCCAGTTTTTTGGAGAGCAAAATGCCTCTGATCAAAGTTCATGAATCAATGATGTTTAAAGGAATAGTACACCCAAAACATGATTAGCCTTCATTTTCTACTCACCCCAATGCTGAACAACACTCTGGAGTACTTTTTTGATATCTCAAATGCATCTGGAGATCTGGGAGGCTTCTTGCTGTCTGCTGACATTCAAATAATGGGGGTCTATGGTGCCCGAGACAGAAAGGTCCATAAAAGTCCACAAAAAACGTGTCAATATTCCTCCATACTGCTCGTCCAATGTATTCCAAGTGTCCTGAGTGGGTAGCATCCAGAATTTACTCGAAACGAAACGAAGTCATTTAGAATGTTTTTAGAGCATAAACAGTAGTGTCCTAAAAGCGCGCACCTGCGCGATCACGACGCTACGGAAGCCGGCAGACCAAACCAGATGAAAGTGCGCATTCAGCGTCTGCTCTGCCAATAATGCAAGCGTAGAAGAAGAAATGTGCTGTTTACCTGTGCAAAGAAAGAAACAACGAAAGAAAAATGTCTGAGGACTTCAGTGTTGAGGAAGAGCATGAGTTCTTTGCCGAGCTGAATGCGCTGGTTTGGTCTGCCGGCTTCCGTAGCATCGTGAACGTGCAGGTGCGCGCTTTCAGGAAATCCTATACACTACTGTTTATGCTCTAAAAACATTCTAAATGACTTCGTTTTGAGTAAATTCTGGATGCTACCCACTCAGGACTACGGAAGAGGATTAGGGCCACTGGAAAAAAAAAAAAGTTAACTGATTTTTTTTATTTTGTTTCATTATAGTATGGGAAAAAAGTCAGAATTCTGACTTTAAAGTCAGAATTCTGAGAAAGAAGTCAGAATTCTGACTTTAATCTCAGAATTCTGACTTTTTTCTCAGAATTCTGACTTTAATCTAAGAATTCTGACTTTAATCTCAGAATTCTGACTTTTTTCTCAGAATTCTGAGATTAAAGTCAGAATTCTGACTTTTTTCTCAGAATTCTGACTGAATTCTGACAATAAAAAAATCAGAATTCTGAGAAAAAAGTCAGAATTCTGAGATTAAAGTCAGAATTCTGAGAAAAAAGTCAGAATTTTGACTTTAATCTCAGAATTCTGAGAAAAAAAGTCAGAATTCTGACTTTAATCTCAGAATTCTGACTTTTTTCCCATGTTAAACTGAAATAAAAATCCGTTTACTTTTTTTTTTTTTCAGTGGCCCTAATCCTCTTCCGTACAGGACACTTGGAATACATTGGACGAGCAGTATGGAGGAATATTGAAACGTTTTTTGTCGACTTTTATGGACCTTTCTGTCTCGGGCACCATAGACCTCCATTATTTGAATGTCAGCAGACAGCAAGAAGCCTCCCAGATCTCCAGATGCATTTGAGATATCAAAAAAGTACTCCAGAGTGTTGTTCAGCATGGGGGTGAGTAGAAAATGAAGGCTTATCATGTTTTGGGTGTACTATTCCTTTAAACTGTAAACGTCGGAGTAAGAAAACAGGTTTGATAAATAAATGTAATTCAGCAAAATGTAGTGGCAAGTAGGCAACAAAGGGATATTCTTGCATTATTCTTTATCTGCAGCATTAAATAAAAAAAATTAATAAAAATTTTCATCCAAACCATTTGAAATGAAAAATTTCTGATTGTGATAGCTAAGGTTATTTTTCAAATTATCAAAAATCTGGAAACCTTTTGTCTCATTCTTAATGTGGTAAATGTGGGCTCAGTTCAAATGAAAAAGCCACTTTGGTCATCATGGCTTCTTGTTGCTTCACTGACTCAACTATAACTGCTTAAAATTAGCACATTCAGGTGGGGTGAGAAAAAAAAAAGGAGAACCAGGCTAAAGGTTTTACAGACAGGAAAGTTTAACCTTTGTTCAGGATGATTTTCTAGGGTTGCTATTGCTTATCTGACAACTTTCATACCTAGAGGACATATTAGACCAAATAAAATAACCAAAAAAAATGCATCAAAGATGGAATGCATATTTTAACTGTGTTGTTAATCTTACCTTCAATATAACGAGTAGATGTGCTGAATTTGGCTGTGGAGTAATAAAATTAATTTGAGCATTTTTTTTTTTTTTTTTTTTACTTTTCTTTCACCATTAAAGGCAAGAAGTTAAACTTACTGAAGAAGGAGAGTGGTATCTCAGCATAAGTATATCCAGAAAGAAACTGCAGACAAAAATATAACCATTTAAAAATAACATGAAAAAAAGATTGAATTTATATTAAATCATGTTTGTATGTTTTTTGGTCTAATTTTGTGTTTATTACCTTTATTTCAAGATACTTAATTAGCCTTTGCAGAACCAGCAGTAGGTCCTGGCGACCCACAGGAAGATCTATATATCAAATACAACACAGATTATCAATTATGGTATGCATATATAATTTCAGTTGAACATTTTGGTTTGGATTGTATGTGCCATTTCTTACCTTTTGGATAGAGAACATTTTTTACCACATGGATCACACCATTTGTGGCCATCAGATCACTGTTGGGCACCTCCACTGAGTTGACATAGATAGAATTGTTTTCCTTTGGAGGAAATATAAAATGACATTAGACTACAGGTCTGATCTACAGAGAATCCACAAATTGTGTGTGCTACTAAAGGGTTTGATGACATTTAAATCTATGGAGATGAAGGTAATAATGAAAATAATAACTTAAAACAATAAAAGATGAAAATGAAAAATATTATTCATAGTGCACTTAATATAAGTATCTCAAACTGGCACCTTTTATTGACAAGGGAGGCAAAGATTGAAAAAGTGATATGGTTTTGCAGCCCTGATTCAGTCTGCTGGCCCAAGAAGTTTTCAATTTACTGATCAGTCTATACTCTGATCCAATATGCAAGCATTTGATACTCTCTTTCTATTTACTGTAGGCTGGCTGTGCTCAGCCTTAGAGATGGAGCTTTATCAGGAAGCTGCCGCTCCTTCTTTGTTTATTTAGGAATCTGTTCAAAATCCATCCTTGAATCTCTTCCTAAATTTTTCCAGGCACGTCCCACAGAGAGGGAGGGTCTTCAGAGAATTAATTGGAATGCCTTGTGATTATTTCAGGAAGCTTAATGTTCTGTCAGATGAACATACCCAGTGAGACCAGCATATCCATAGTCAATACCCGTTAATCCATTTAGTTTATCCCTTTAGATTTGTACGAAAAATACACCTTAAACTACCTCAACGGACGTGTAACCCTTTAATCGTGTACAAAGAAATTATCCAATTACTTTTTGGTGTTTTTTTATGCCTATGGCGATATGACATTAAATTTTTTATTTTTTTGTACATGACTAAAGGGATACACGTCTGTCACGGTTGTTTAAAGTATATTTTTCATCTAAAAGGATTAAAGGGATTAACACAAATTGGACCTTTTGTGCAGGCGTATTGACTATAGGTATGCTGGTCTGAGGGGTTTTGTTCATTTGACAGAACACCGGCAAGTGTCCATGATATGCCAAACCACCTAATCTTGGATAGACAGAGATTGTTTAATTGGTGATCCGAGTTAAAATTGGCAAAATGTTTGTTGAAATATTGGATGGATGGAGATTTTATATGATTGCTCAATTTCTGCCTTTTGGTGTTTAGGACACTGAGATACAGAGACAAAGAAAAACTGCATACATGTTTAACATAGAGATTTATGCCCTGCATGCTTCTCAGTAGATTGGTCACTCTTCTCTCCAGTCCTCCATTGATGAAGATGCCGTCACTGAAGTGGTACAGAAGAATGGTTCTCAAAGCGTTCAGATCACCTGTCAATGAACACAGAAATTATATTGATTTTGACAACTCAAATTCACAATAAAGCTAGAAATGATGCTGTGATTTTGACGGAGTACTAACTTCTTAGCAAATCTAAGTCATCTTTACTGAGGTCTTTAAATGCTTCATCACTCGGTGCAAATATGGTGTAGGAGCCTTTCCCTTTTAGCATATCTAGTAGACCTGCTGTTTCCATCAGTGATAAGAAAGTCCTAAATTTGATAAAAGAGTAAAATAATTCAGTTAATTTAAATAAATACAGTAAGCAGGGGTTATACATGTTCAATTAACATGATGTTGTCACTGTCTTAAGATTTTCGTTCATTTAAGGCAAATAAAATACATCTAAGTTGTTAAAAGGTTAGGTAAACAGGAGTGTATTAGTATGGATTTGATGTATGAATTATGTATTTTATGTTATATGTAAAAATAACATAAAATATTTTTCACGTCATAGTTCTCACTTGAATTTTCCATCGGCTTCCAGGAGTTCGAAGATCGTTTTGTCAGCCGGTTTGATCAGTGAGCTCATGACATGAAGAGCCCAGTTGATTCCTGTTTTACTGCCTTGCAACATACATGCACTTTCAATGCACACAGCCTTTGAAAAGAGAGAGGACCAGAGTATCCATCTGAAAATCAATGTTTAAATCTGGAAACAGTTTCTTTACTGGGGAGTTAGCAGTGTCACACAATCCTCTTTGATTGCAATCAATCAAAAATAAACAATGTCTCTGTAAAAACATTGAATCCAGCTGACTGTGGTCTCTAAACTGTTTGAGCATAAAACTGTTTTATGTGCCAAAAGCAGGAGAAAATTTAAAGTATTTTTTAATTTTTACTTTTAAGTTTTAATGCACAGTTTTTAGGTTGGCAGATAACAAAAATAGTGTTAACATAGACACTTCAATGCAAAAGCTGTTGCATGCCATTATCTTTCACTTCTAATCTATTTAATTTAGACACATCTAAATAGGCTGTATTCTTAGTTCTACTAAAACATACAAACACAAAAAGCTCTCACAGTTCGATATATGAAGACTCTCAGCAGTTTGCCAGAAACTGTTTCCAGCTGCTGTCCGTTGTAAAGCCCACTCAGTGGGACTTTTAGCTTCAACAAGTGGTTTTCCAAAATAAGCCTTAGATAGGTGTCATCAGCCATCACCTCATCTGCCATGTGCACCGAAAGGTCAGTTTTAAAAGATGTAAGAGAAAATGAATGTCAGAGCAAATCAAACAAATCAAACAACTTTCTTTTGTAAAATGTTGAGAGAACGACTAAAAATGTAAATACATCAAACACAAACACTTGCTCATTTTTTCAATAGAAGTTGCTTTAACTGACCTGTGAAGGCATTATCTTTGGTAGCCAAGACTGTGTATTCTGTATTCAAATCCAGGTTGGTAGTTAATCCCATTTCAGACACCAAATCACCGAACATGCTCTGAGATGTTCCAATCAGCTCTCTCACCTCCTTGGCTAATTGAAATCATACAGACAGGGCACATTTCTCAACACAATCAGTACCTTGCAAACATATTCATACCCCTTGATTTCCTTGACATTAAACCTTTCATTTTTTGTGTGCATTAATCAAAATCTATCTTAAAGATTGAGGGACAATAAGACAATCATCTTTTAAGTCTTGCAGTTTATAGTAAGTCAAGAAGAGGAATTATGTTTATCTTAAAATCGTGTTGAAGGAATAGAGAGGAAGGTGAACTATTCAGATAAGTGACAACATTTGTATTTTATGTTTTGCAAATACTCAAAATCAGTTGTATGCTAAATATGGACTCTGAAAATCACATCGAAAACTCCACAATCACCACAAAACATGATGCAAGCATCATTCTGTTAATATAGTTCCTTTTGGCAAGAATATGAAAATTTGTAGATTTGTGAGGGAGAGTTATACAATATACATGATTTACTCCTTCAAGGAAAAACTGTTAGTGGCTAGAACCAGTAACATCTACAATGCAATGAGCTTGTATTCCTTGAATTTCATGGTTATATGCCACTTTGTGTTTGTTTCTTATAGGGTTCTAATAAAATATCTATCAGTATGTGGTTTAAAATAATATATATATATATATATATATATATATATATATATATATATATATATATATATATATATATATATATATATATATATATATATATATATATATATATATATATATATATATATATATATATATATATATATATAAGAAGTTGAAGGGGTATAAATCAAGCTTCAAAAAGGTCAGTCTAGGCAATTGGACGTGAAGTTTTCTAGAAGACGTTTCGTCTCTCATCCAGGATAACTCAGAAGATCCACCTGAGCCCACCTTACTCACACTTGAATGAGGCATATGACTGAAACCAATCCGATGAGGGAGTTAATGACCCATCAGAACCCCCTAATGACCATCAATAACCCCATTGTGACCTCCTTGGCCAACCCAGTGGGAGGGATCAGAGCCACATTTTGTCCCCCCTAACTCTTTGTTAGACCCACAGTATATTAATCTCAGTGCTCCCCACCAATAGTTAGAACTGAAGAAGCCTCTTGGATGAGAGGTGAAACATCTAAAAAACTTTTAAAAACATGTCAAGTCCAGTTGCCTAAACTGAACTTTCTCAAGCTTTGCCATGACCTGGATGACGAAGAATATTCACAGATAAGGGGTATACATATTTATCAAATCACCACAGCATAACCAAATGTTATAAAAGAGTTAGGGAGAAGTAGTTTACCTGAATCAGGGATGAGCACCTGGTCAATGATGTGAATGACTCCATTGGAGGTTACAATGTCCTTCTTCAGCACCATCTTGATGCCGTTTACAGTCAGACTCTCACCATCACAGCCAATTTCTATGGTGCTGCCCTCTTTAGTCTCATATACCGATCCTGCCATGATTGCTTCTGCACACTGGACGCTGTTCAACAAGTGATAGGTCACCAGTGCTAAAACAGAAAGGTGGGGATTAAGTTACATATATACAAAAGATATGATCATTAATCGACCCCAAGGCAGAAGCAGACAAACAGAAACAGCTATAACATTATGACCAAGCCAATACTCTTTTACACATTTCTTTGGTCATTTGTAGAAGACCACATCTTCTTTTTCAAAAAAGGCCACAGCCATTACAGAATAGTGTTTTTGAGGTTGTTTTTTTTTTTTTTTTTTTTTTTTTGCCCATTTGCATTTTACATCTGCTGCTGGCTTGTGTTTATCTATTCTGGTGACATATGTTCCCTATATAAGAAGGGCACACAACCACTACCATCAATGTAATCCTTCTTGGATCCTCACAGAATATTGTTGGTATATGGTTTCAGACATATGTGTGTGAGAACCTGCGTTAAGGACTCCGGCTTGCCCACTCTAACATGTTAAGTTTGAGGAAAAAATATATTTTTATTATCCATTACACCCACACACTAAAAGGGGCAAAAAAGAGGGGACATTAATCAATTCACCTCTTAGTGGTATAAATATGTTTGATGTTTTCCCTGCTTGGTTTTATTTAGTTGAATTAAGCAAATTATATATTATTGTATGCAAAATAATTACTGTGAAAAAAGTACTGTAAAAGTTCACTCTAACTTCCTAAAACATGAGCGTTCGCTCAACCTGGTCTATCTTTTGTAATAACTCTGTTACCATTGATCAACAACACAGATTCTCACCTAAACCTGATTTAGGAGGTTTTACCTAATTTCTAAATTCTTGACCATTTGTTTGAAGGCCGGATGTATATAAGTAAGAAGCCCACTAACTAACTTAATGTCCATGTTTAATCATAAATGGTAATATGATCAAAGTATTGGTGTTTTTAAAGATTATTTGGCTTGTTTGTTCTAGGAAAGTATACTTTCATTAGAAATAAGCCATCACTTGTGTAGTTTTTGAAATTTTAACTGTAGTATTTCTTAGATATAATGTTTTCCAAATAAGAAATGTAATCTACTCAAAAAAAATCTGTTAATAAATGCAGAATATAGCTTTTGCATATTTGGCTCATTGCCTGAGGTTTAAAGGAAGCTATTACAGTACATCCTGCTTCTTATCTGTGAGCCCAAAGCAAAATCAGTAAGGAAGCACTCCTAAAGCTTTAGCCAGTTACCACTGTATCAGTTTGAAATTACACTCCTTCATGTGTGCAAACATGTTGTAGATGACCTAAGCCTGTGGGTATGGAAAAAAGTTTGATTTATGGGATGGCCAGCTGGGAAATTTGATGGGAGTCATCTGGCTTGCTAGATTAACTCTGCTGAGCCTTTATTCCTATCAACACTAGCGCCTGGTTGTACAGTACATGCTCACAAATCCCTAGAGGAAGTACTGTAGCTAAGCAAATTGGAATAAAAAAATCTAATACAGAAATAACTAACATTGCTCAAAAAAGTCCTTCCAATGTTAATGGAGGAAATCTTTGCTATGTAAGTGTAAACAGAAAATAAAAACTCATAAAATGTACTTTAAAAATATAGGGTAAGTATTTGCACGCAAATGATTTAAGTAAAATTTAATGCTGCAGCATCAAGTAACACTCAGTTGCCAGCATCAAGTGAATTTTACTTTCCGTAAGACATAACAGTTTTGAAGATATTAATGAACATTTACCTAATTACATCCAAGTTGTAAGTTATATTTATTTAAACAAATTAACTAAAGTGTACTTGTTTTTCATAGGCATAGGCACAAACAGCATTTTACTCACAGTTCTAAGGCAACACAGAGAGAAAAAAAAACATTCACACATACACACGGAGAATTTAGAGAAGTCAATTAATCTAAGAAGTCATGTTGTTGGACTCTGGGAGGAAGCCAGAGTACCTGGAGAGAACCCACGCATGCACAGGGAAAACATGCAAAATCCATGCAGAAAGAAGCCTGGGTCGGGAATTGAACCCAGATCCTTTGTGCTACCCACTGCTCTACTAAGCAGCCCTCTAATTGTAATTGTACTTTTCAAATATCCAATAAAAAATGAGCATCCCTCTGAAACTGAGAGTTTCAACATTTGTTACAGAAATATACTCATATGTAAAATCAAGACTATTTAACGTACATAAACATGTTCAAAACTACTTATTTGCGAGGGTCAGAACAGAAACAGCCACACTTTGAGCAGTGGTGTAAAGAATAGGTATGCCTCTATTTACATGGAAAAAAGCATGTACAAATATAGCATTAATGGTAAAAGTGCATTATGTTGTACTGCATTAGAATTTGTACCGAAAAAAAAAGATAAGTCTGGTATTACTTGTAAACAACAAATACACAGTATTTCATATACACCACATCCAAGACAGATCTGGTATATAGTCACTACTCAAATATGCAATAAACATCTTACAAAACTACACACTGAAACAGTGCAATTTCAACATTTAAACCAGTTGTCCAGTCTAGTGGACTTCTAAGGATAAACACAGTTTAAAATTAATAGATAAAACTGTCTAAACATTCTCAATGAAGAAAAAAATCTACAAGATATATGAATAAGGGTATCTGTTATTTTTTTGTGAAATAACATTTATCTTATTTAGCAAAAAATAAAAAAACATTATTGACAGGCAGCCTTCCACTAAGATTAACTGGATCCCACTGCTAATTCTTGGCATTTAAAAACACATTTTCCTACCCTAAGATGACAAAGTCATTGTGCGTTTCAAAATGCTAAATTTTTAAAATAAAGTTCATGCAGTATTGTATGTAGAATTTATGTACATAATGCTATTAAACATTTAAATAGTATAAGGAAATTTAAGTAAAAGTTAATATTTCCATAAAATGCGTGTGTTACATAAAAAAAGATTTAATTTTACTTCAGAAACTCTAGTTTTTACTGAAGCTTGAAAACACAGAGTAATTACTATGACAAATACTCTAATAGAGTTTACTGCACCAGTTGGTGGTAATCATATCGGAGGGTTATCAAAGTCAATCAAATTAATATTAGGTCAGAAAGTATTTCATCTTCACCGAAGCATGTTTGTACCTTTAATAACTGGCTCATTTTCAAAGATACTCTCCATGAAGCCTGGCGTCAGCTTTTCAAAAGCTGCATTCGTTGGGAGGAACAAAGTGAAGTGTCCAGGTAGGTTCAACTCTTCCATAACGCCAGCAATATATGCAGCATTCTAAAAAATAAAAAAATAAAATAAAATGTTCCTGCATATAAAACCAAGGAAATAGAAGATATGATATAGGTTTTATGCTGTTGAGTGTTTCCTTACAAGAAAAGAAGAGTAGTCCTCATCATTATTCAGATACTCATTGATGGTGCCAGCAACAGAGGTGATCACGCGGTCTATGACATGCACCACGCCATTAGTTGCAATCTGGTTACCATGGATAATCCTGGCACAGTTCACGGTAACAACCTATATAGAAATAAATCAATTTTAAGCCACTATGTCATGCTGACATATTAACTCTGCTCCTCTGAGTGCTGCATAGACTGACCCCATTAGGATAGTGGTTTATGTAGATTCCCTGGTTATTGTACATTGAAGTGACATTGATTCCATTCTTCATGTCTTTGGTCAGCAGGCGGTGATTCACCATGTGATAGTGAAGCGCATTTTTAAGCTCAATGTTGACATTGCTCTTTAACGCAGCCCGAACAGCCTATAGAAGTAAAAAAAAAAACAAAAACAATAAATGCATTATGGTAAATGAGTACATGAATAATATAATACACTGAGTGATTTTATAAGACAGACCAACAGAGAAAAGTTCATAAGAATAATGTAAAGAAAAGCATATGTGGTTTTGAATTATTATTATTTTTTTCATGTGTGAAAATAAAAAATTTTGTGCGCATATTGCTTTTTTTTTTATATTTCATTTCTAGCTTGGCATAAATAGATACTAATAATTTGCATACATTTTCTCTTCAGTGCCAATTAAGCTCTAGCAGGTTGGATGGATTCAAATCCTAACAGTATTTTTAAGTTTTGCCACAGATTTTTTAACCTCTGAGGCCTTCACAGAACAGTTAATACTTAGATCTGTTTAGCCATTTTTTGGCACTGATTTGTATTTCGGGGCTAGCTGAGTAAAGTGAAATGAAGTAATATGTTTTCTAAATGCTTCAATTATTTGAAATCATCTTTTTTTCTGCTTATTTTAGAACGTTTGCACTACATTGTGTTGACCTGTCGTATAAATTCTACAAAAGACATTTATTTTGTTTTTTTAACCTGACAAATATGTAATTTATTTTTTTTTTTTAAACAAGGAATTATTCCTTTTTTCTTCTCCTTTCTTTTTTAACAAGGCAATATAACTGGTTGAATATTTAGTTTACTCACGGGATCCAGTTCTTCCCATGCATCATCGCTGGGTGCAAACACAGTGAAGGCACCGGGGCCCTCAATCTGCTCTCTTAGGTTTGACTCATCATAGTAAGACTTCGTGGTCATGGCCCTTACAATCTCCAAAGTGTTATACACATTGTCAATTGGAGCCACTGATGGGTGCAGAAAATGATAAAGAATCATTTTGACTGGACCAGTGAGAGTAATAATTTAACACTACTGTGTGTCCTACCAGCCGGGCATCCTCTCATCCCATCCAGCTTCATGTACCCAGGGCAACATTCATACAGGACCAAACTGGAAAAAGAAAGGAGAGTGAAAGTGTATACAACTGTGAGTCATCAAAGCAACTTGTGCAAGATGTAGATGAAAAAAAAGGGTTTCACTGTTTCTTAACTACATGCAGTTGCTTTGCTGTGTGTTGTGCTTTTTCAACATTTTGGCAACAGAAAAAAGAGAAACAAAACAGGGGGAGATCAAATGTGAATGTGATGTAAGTTGAGACAGAGGGGAAAAAAAATCTACATTGAGCAGATTTGGCAGCTGAGAGGAAGAGAAAAAAAAGAAAACATCTGGAACTGTGAGAAGATGACAACTGTTTGGATAAAGATTGGTGGAAACATAAAAAAAAATCATAGCATAGCTATGCTATATACAGCAGTCGTCTTTCTATATTCAATGTTTTTCAAAGTTGTTTTGAAGATGAAGAGTTTTAAGAGGATCTTTAAATAAACATGCATTGAAAAACTAAATTAAAAAAACACATATTAGCTAAGAAAATACACTAAACAGTGGCTTAATAAATACCTTCTTAATGAGAAACATGCAAATTCTTTGAAAAAACAACTTAGACAATGAATGGAACTCCTAACTACTATTTTTTTTCAACAGTCAGTGTATACTTCTCATATAAGGTAATAGTAGCAGTAAAACTACTACACAACCAGCACTAACACAAATCAGTGCAACAGAGTTATTGGTCAGCAGTATAATAAACAATATAAAAGCTGAGGCAATACAAAAGACAAATAATTTAAAAAATAAGCTACCAAGAGAAACTAAGGAGTTCCACTGGTGTTGCACAATTCTCACACTTCAACAAAAGCTTGAAATGAAAAACATCCATTCAGTTAAAAAGAAAGCAGAAAAGGTTCTTCTCCCCTTACCCTCTCATTTGAAAAATATCTTCTTGAATTTATTTTGGTTGCAGAATTAAATTAAGTATTTTATCACTATATTGACGTATCGAGAATTGATCAGTCTCGCAGATAATTCCCCGTTCTCAGAAAACAATATACAGTATATGTCTCCTTGAAATGCTTTAAGTGATAGACAAATTGGTTGGTCTCATAGATTAATGAGGTAACATGACTGATATATGCAGCAAAAAATTACTTACAAATCAGCAGTATACACAATTTGATAAAAAAAAAAAAACACCTAACAACATGATTTCTTTTGTTTTTTCATGGGTACATAATATTACCAGTGGAAAATTTTGATCCCACTGTTAAGAACATTTTTAAATGTATCCATTATTGTTAAAGAAATACAGCCCACTCAAATTATAAGGTATGTGTGTTAAAGTATATGTGATGTAATAAAGAAAAAAATTTAAATTGGTCAAATTTAGGGGAGTGGTGGCCTAGTGGTTAAGGCATTGTGCTTGGATACCAGAGGTTCTGAGTTCACGCCCCACTCCCACGGACTGCCACTCTGGCTCCCTGAGCAACACCCTTACTCCCACACTGCTCCCCGGGCTCCGCACAATGGCAGCCCACTGCTCCCCAAGGTGATGGGTTAAGTGCAGAGATTGAATTTCGTTGCTTTGTACTTGTGGCAGTCTAATGACAACAAAAGTTAAATTCTGAATTCTACTTATAGGCTTTTACTTACCTAATCTAGTACTGTAAGTCGAGCCCCAAGTTAACACATGAAAGACATTAAGTGAAAAGTCAAGACTTGCAAGTCCTATATTTCTTATTTCAAGTCTAAAAGAAGTAATATAGCCAGAATATCTTTTTTATCAGTAAAAGTAACTAAAAATCGAAAGATTTATAAACATTTTTTAAAAGCGTTGGTGTTGCCAGAGCAAGAGCTTACATCGTAAGAGGGACTGAACCTAAGAAACTTTGGTGATAATGTTGTTCGATGTAATTCAAGTTAGTTTATTTATATATTGTCAATTCACAACACCACAACACAACACAACCTGTGATCTCAAGGTACTTTACAGAGACAATACAGTCACATTGGTTAAACATTTCTGTCTAGTTGGTTGCATCTAGTCACTGACTTGCAAGACATGGTCCTACTGGATGAGCTTTCAGCACAGATTCTTCAATGTTCTTTAATGCGAACAGTAAACAAAAAAAAAAGGGAAAAAAAATCTGTTTTCTACGCTGTCTTCCTTAATAGCGCTGGGTGACAGTGCCTGTCCACCACAACAGAAAAGCAGCTAAACAGTACATAATGCAGATTTATGTTGCAGCAACAACTGGAGAAAATACTATCAAATGCCAAGAGGCGTGTAGTAGGCTAGAAAGCATGCCAAGCACGAATCCCCACTTCCTGTTTGGTGGAAGTTATCAAGTATTTCTTAAGTCAAACTGTTTAAGTCAAAGGGAAACCGCAATTTATTTGTGTGAAAGTCCAAGTCGCAAGTATTTTGTGGTTTTCTTGAGTCTGAAGTCATTGAATACAATTAATACTGTAGCCAACCCCTCTGCATTTGACAGCCATAAGAAAAATAGAATTTATATTTCATTGCGATCTCATCCCTTAGACCAGGGGTTGGCAACTCAAACTGCTCAAAGAGCCATATTGGAACAAAAACACAAATCTGTCTGGGGCTGCAAAAATGAAACGGTCTTATATACGGTAAGCCTTGTAAAGCAACACAGCCTTTAAGCGTATTAGCCAACTATAAAAAAGGACTACGTGGGCTTGAATACATATAATAAGGACTCATGATTAAATATTTATCCTGGAGCAAATATCACATAGTAGCATGAGGTGAGGGAGGGGCAGTGAACTCTCTCACCGCGTGGAATTCACCGTGCACTGCTTCACCACCCTTCCCCGAACAGTTTAGCTTTTATTGGATTGAGGAAATTATCTAAACACAATTAAGGTAGACATCCATCAGAGCAGCGCTCTCTAACCCCCAAAATCTCACATCCTCCGTCACCAGCTCTCCTTGGTGTTATTTTTACTTTGAGGATTTGGGGAAAGTTCCCATCCCTGCATCAGAGCGCTACCTGTTCCATCTGTGGACGGTTTTCCATGCTTGAAACAAAACTAGCAGCAGTAGTGGAGTTTGGAGATGCAATCCATTTCTTAGATCTATCTTTGCTTTCCTCTAATTTATTCATAAGTTCCGCAATCACACTTTTTCTCTCACTCCCAACTTATTGGCTGCAAATTTAGCATCCTTCCCTGGAAATGCCTTTCCAAATTATTCTTTTTAGTTTTTGACAACCTCTCATTACAAAGCAAAATGCAGGCCATCCTTCCACATTGATAATCTACTTTCAATAGTCATGAAAGCAAATGATTCAGTCCATTCTTCTTTGAATCCTCTGTTCTCATCAGCTATCTTCCTTTTTTTCCCTTTGGGATCCATGGCCTGAGACACACCTGCAGCGTTGTTTGCATGGCACTGTGCCGCCCTGAAACGTGTGTTGCAGGCTATGACCACTTATCTCTATGGCTATAATGCAAATTTTTGTTGAAAGAAATGTTTCCATTTATTTAAAAAACAAATTTATTTATGAAACAGATTTTTACAACATTGGAAAACATAATGAAGGTTTGTTTCACCTTCTGCAGACCATATTAAACAAGCAAAAAAAAATATAAATTTTCATGAATTTTTTAAAAACTCTAAAGAGCTGGAACACGGGCGCTACAGAGTCGTGGGTTGCCCCTGCCTTGGACAAAAGAGAGACACAAGTATGCAAAATGTTTTGTTCCTCACTGTTATAGATAAATTATCTAATTAAATACCATGAATTTCACTAACTCTGGATTATACCAAAAAATTTTCTTAGCTCTTTAAAGGAAGTAAAATGTCACCACTTATAAGAACTTTTAGGGCTTTTAAGAACTGTCTGTAGACCAAAACAAAATGTAGGACCAATGATGCCTCTCTCTACCTCCACTCCCCTTCTCATCTGTTGCCTTATATGTACATTTGCAAAGGATGAATACACAGCAAAACAGCAACAACTTTTGACAGAACATGTCTAGGGAAGAAGAAAGTGACTTATAGTTTTTACTCAACACTATATAGGGTAAACTAAAGAGGCTATAGGCAAATGATAAAACATTGTTTTTTCACTAATCCTTGAAGTCCAGCTCAGGCATCTTCAAAATACTTGAAGAAGAAATGGTGCTTGTACAATCAAATTTTAATGTTACATACACTGTATTGTCTTTATTTTTCTGAGAAAATAACGTGATTCTCAATTTATATGTCTAAATTAATTCAGCTATGGATAAACAGCTAACATATAAATATATAGGGGTAAAAAGTAAAAAACACTGACTTAACATTTACAGTACTGATCCTTCACAAAGTTTTTTTTAGAGATAACATGCAAAGCTCATGATGAGATGCAGAACTCTTGAAAGATGAGGAAATATTGAAATAATTAAGCTTGAAATTACCCAGATCTCTGTATTATTTTCAGCTGAAATTTGTTAGGGTGTTTGTTTGGAGGGGTTTCCTAGGAAACAATGAGGATTGTTAAAGTTTGCTGCTTTCTGTCTGATTTACAGTTCAAAGCCTTGCCTGCTGCTTGTAGTCAGGATGGTTTGATGCTGCATGGCTGCTATGTCCCTGTCAGAAGACCCTAGGGCAACTGTCTATGTATGGATGAATGACTGATTGTAATCTAAAAAGCTTGGAGTCCTCTGAATTGACAAAAAGCACTAAAAACGGGCACACTATTGACCATTTACAAAATGACTAATGCTGTGGTTATAATAACGAAGTTTTAAACACAATTAGCTCTATGCTCCCAAGAATTTTAATCTGTCAATTTTTGTTTTGCAAATAGCATCACTGTTGGTTTTGTGTGGTTTTATAATTTTCAATACATAAATATGGGTCCACACTCATTGGCAGACAGGAGGTTATGAAGTCATTTTTTTTCTTCTTGGCTTGTACTGTGACAGTATAATAAATGCAATGAAGACCAGAGAAAGAGCAAACCGGTTCACGGTCATCAGAACAATATGGCTTCCAGATGAACAAATGGGGGCATATGTGTACACAGCCACTTCCATTTATTTCACACTCATTTTGCATGGTCTAACCCAGGCCCCTGCCGCAAGCCTAACCATTACAACACATATTCAATGCAGCATGTTCCTGTGGAAATTGTCCCCACATGGTATCAAATACACAGCCACCATCTCTTACCACCTTCAAAGTGTTGCTATTCTTTTCTGCTATACAAAAGCTGTCTGCATAACACATAGTCTGTCTTGTATCCTTTTTATATAGTTTGCTGACCTGCTTATTATATCCGCATATCTCATACACATGTTATACGGTAAAGTAAAGGTTAGTGGCAGCCTAGTGCTTAGGGCATTGCGTTTGGCTCCCACAGGTTCTGAGTTTGAGCCCCACACCTGCAGACTGCAACTCTGGTTATCTGAGCAAGAGCCTTAAGTCCACACTGCTCCTGGGTGCTGCACAGTGCCAGCCCACTGCTCCCCAAGGGGTTGAATGAAATGCAGAGGTGAATTTCTCCAATGTGAGATTAATAATGTTCGATTATAAAAAGTCCTCATTCTTTAGAATGCACTGTACAGAATTTATGCTAGATGTAGTATAGAATGTGTAAAGAAAATGTGTTTCACTAATCTTTTGAAGCACCAATTTGAACTGTATTAGCATTGTACTCAGAGGTTGCATTTACCATGCTGCAAGTTGAAATTACAACAAGAATGACCCGTTGGATTTGAAATTTGAAATAGGGCATCCTGTTCAATTCCCTATATGGTGGCTATGCATGGAAGCTGCAGGACTAATCTTTTTATTGACACTACTGACCATTTATGTTCATTTTTAAGCAAGAGCTTAAACAGCAATGTACAACAACTGTGAGGGAGCATGTTTTTATATTCTGCATAAAGCATTGAAAAAAAATTGGCTATCACTGACTTGTTTTGCAAATTCCACTTTTTTTTCTAAATTAGAATCAGAACACATACACGTCAGGTGGGATGGTATTTCAAGCTACAAATTGGGGTTAGAAAGGTAAGTTCTTCACATTGTTCTTCCAGATTTTGCCGGTAAAAAAAACTTTAAGTATTAAACTAACATTTGCATAAACATGCAAAATGCTTTATCATGTGCCTAAATCCTTATTAAGCCAGATGCATGAACAGGAGTTAATCCAAAACTGGTGGGGCAGTGACAGACAAGTGTAGGACTGAAAGGGGCATATGGCACTGAACTGGAAATACAATACAGCAATACATTGAACTGCATACAACAGAGCAAGTCCAGACTAGACATGATAGGGAATGTAAGAAGACCAAGAATGTGACAGTTTTACAGTGTGTAAAACTTTGCTTCTCTCTGTAGTGAAAAAGTGACTAAATTTTGTAGGTTTGGATGACCTAATTCAGAGAGTGTATGAAGCTCAAACAGCTCCCCTCATCAAACTAAATAAAAAAAAATGGTTGGAAATGATTTAGTGTAATGGGAAGGAATAGGCACAGCAAGCATTTATGTGTATCTGAAAGATGTTTTATTCAGGGGATATGTTACAGGAGAACAGTTTTCACTTTAGCTAAAGGTTCAAAGCCTCGTAAAATTCAGCATCATAGAGAAGACTTACGCCTTCTTGCCGCAGATGGATTTTCTGTACCAGTTCCTACATGTACTGAAGTACTTTTTCTTTGTTCCCTCAACTTGCTGCAGAGCACAAACATTGGGCCTGTCAGAAAAGAGGATAAGGAGCAAGAAAGCAATGATGAAATAGTGAAAATCAAGGGCAGGGATGGAATTCATGTATTCATTTTATATTATGTATTTTTTACCTTTTAATAAATGAATTCAAATTAAAATTGAATAACCAAATATTTCAATTAAAATGAAGTATATTTTTAGTTGGTTAGAAAAAATGGTTAAAAAAAACATATGTAACATAAATATATACATAATTTAACAGTCTTTATTTGTGTCTGTTATTTCAATACAATTCAGTTTATTCATATAGCGCCAATTCACAACATATGTCATCTCAAGGCACTTTACAGTTCACCAGATCATATAGTCAAAGTTATTCTGTTTTCTATCTAAGGAAAACCAGTTGATTGCATCGACTCATTTACTCGAAGGCAATCTCTCATGGTCAGAGATGTTAGTAAAGGACATGTGCAAAGCTCAATGCTTTTTTTTCTTTTCATCATTTTGATTTGACTAACATGGACCATATTTTTTTGGTCCAATCTGTAAAGCCTTAAACTCAATGCTATCTCTGCCATTTTTAATTGAAAAGGCTTCCTGGAGGGGAAGAGAAATGTTTTCAAACTTGGAAACAAAGTCCAGTGGATTGTTTTTTTTTACTTATTTAAAATGACTATGACCTGGATGACTGAGAATCTTCACCAGCATGATTACTAAAAAATGCTAAATTCTAAAAATGCCTTTTGGTATCTTCGGATGTGCTTTTAGTTGCATCCAGATATAACAGAAAAGTAATTTAATTTTAATTTAATTTTAATTTAATTTGATTTTTTTTCTTTCCTTTACCTATCAAATCTTTCACACATATCAATATATATGAATGCACAGTAGCTACAGATAGGATAGGTCATTACAGTGATAAAAACAACTGCTATCAAATAATTTTCTGGTTCTTCCTTCTATTTATTTTATTTTTCCTTACCCTTCATTCCTGGCTCGTATGCGGCTGTGGGTGACTATTTTGTCATAAGCTGAGGAATCCACACTTCCTAGAAAGCAGGTTGCCAATACAGCTAAGGTCACCACTGGCAGCTGATCCATCCTGAGGTGTTATCAGTCCTCTGCACCTTAAAGTTTCAAAAACACTTTCGGCTTGTCTTTAGAATACAAACCTAGTTCCCTTTCACCCCTTTTTTAAAAAAAACACACACACACAAAAGATTTAGAAACACATAGTGAGAGGGGGAGCTTTTATACCAACAGCTCCGACCCTTTAACACACCCACTCTCGAATTTACTCTGCTACTGTGTTCTCCATACTATGACGCATGGTTCATAACCACACACATCCTTCCTTTCAGTCCAAACCCATCCTCCAGCTGAGACTGCAGAACACACGCATTGTCTCCTCCTTCCTCATGCTGTTTAACACCATTTTTATATGAACTTTCTTAACCACCATCTTATCCTACAGCACCAAGGACACCCTATGAATAAAAAAAAAACAAAAAACAGAAAAACCCTGCATGCTGTTAACAGTTTGACTCAATATGTCATTCATATATATGCGATTCAGATCCTTGATTAAAGGATTTTAGGTGGAAATAAATGTTTTTGTGTTGAAAGATTAGGTTTGCATACATTTAACAAAATGCAATTTTGTCCTCCACAAATATACCAACCCAACTAGCAACACCTAAACCTAATCCAGAAACTTTTTAACTATTTAGATAACAAAAAGAGATTTCATTTCTGACGACTCATTAGAAATATCAGTTTTTAGTTGACACTTTGAATGAAAGACCTCTTTGACTATTGTTTCATAACCCACTTGTGAAGTGGAATCATTATTCAAACATCTTTTCCTCATTGTTATCCTTCTTACTGATCATCCAATCTCATTCTCCTTGCTATCATTATATGTTCAACACCTCAACTCTTAAGATAAGGCATTTTTCCCCCTGCAGTCCTGTTCTCCTGTGTTGACACCGAATCGGATACAACTTCAATAGGAGGAAAAAAAAATCTATTGTAAATAAGGTTCTGTGGATGCAAGTCATGCAAAGCTTTGCATTCTGAACAGAACAGTACTTCAACCCCAAAAGATGCAGGGAAAATATAAAACTGTTCTCTGATGTTTCTCTTTCTATTAGCTTGTTGGAATAATACCAAGAAGCCCATTCTTTGGTGTAAGCAACCCTTTTTGCAGAGAGTAGATCAGAAACTTTTGAAATTATTTTCTTCGTTGCTTAACACTGTACCCCTCTAAAGACTCACACTTAAATGATATATATATATATTTTATGACCAGTTCATGTGAATTTAGATCACATTTAGCATTTGAAGTTTCCACATCATCATCTGGGAACCTAAGAAAGTGCAGTGCTGTTTGGAGTCATATAGAAGCCACATGTCTAATATAGTATCAGGCAAAAGCTGTTAGCTATAAAGTGTTGGCAAATGGACTTCTTTACAGTCTTTTTCTGTGGCTGGAGCCTATTTAGTATTCTTGCCAGGCATTTCAGGCTTACTTATGATATATTCATAGAGATTCCTTGAGGGCCGGTCTGCTATAGGTTATGGAGGTTTCTCACCTGATTGCATTGAAGAAAATGCCTCTAACTGGCCATTACTGGAAACCAGATGTGCTGAATTACATTGCTTAACCCCACACTGCTCCCTTGGGGCCGCACAATGGCAGCTCACTGCTCCCCAAGGGGATGGGTTAAATGCAGACATAAAAAGGCTTTAGTTCCTCCATTTGTGGATCACCTTCTTACTTCAAATTCAACTCCCCCCCACTATTGTTAGATACTGTGCAATTGGAAAGGATTTTTCACAGTATTTTGTTTTCCCTTAATGGACATTTGTAATGATGCCTAAACATAGCAAGCTGTTTTTAACACCATGGAGCAGCTTATTAACATCTCTAAAGCTTGAATAATAATTTAACTACCAGCTGAGTTAAACAGAAGGAGAACAGGAGCAATGAGGAGAGTAGAAAATTCAAGCTGTGCCTTCCATTATTAATTATGGACAATGTGAGAAACAAGTTAAAACAACTCCAATCCCTAGAAAGGATCCAGCCAGAATACTGGCAATGCAGTATTATGTGTTTAACTAAAACATGGCTACACGATCATATTCCTGCCTGATTTTTGTCCATTTTATTTGCCCAGAGAGTTCACCAATGTTGTTTTGATAACTGTATACGTTTCCCCTTTTGCTATTGTTAACACTGCATGTGATGTCATGAGCTCTGTTAATGCTAAGCTACAAATACAACAGCCAAATTAATTTGTGGCAATAATAGGATTTTAACAAAGAGTCATTCTCTGCTACACTGCCAACTTTCCAACAGTTTGTTAGTTGCTGTAGCAGAGAAAAGAAACCGAAAGACTTGTTTCATGCATGTGTAATGCGTTCCTAATTCTTAATCACTATCCTGTTTTTCTTTTCTCAGAGAAATCCCCTTATTAAGACACAAGCAGCAGTAGAAGGGACATGGTTGGAGGAAGCTGAAAAAGACTGGGATGCAGTGTGTTGGGACATCAATGTATTAATTGTGTTACTGAGTGCATAAACAGTGAAATGCATCCATGATAATAAACCCTGAATCACCAGTCATCTCAGGGTACTGCTAAACAAGAAAAGAAAAGCTTGCATGAAGGGAGATAGGGAAATACTGAGGAGCATACAGAAGCAACTTAAGGTCAAGATAAGAGAAAACACAGAGGCATACAAGAAGAAGTTGTAACCAGCATAATAATATCAGATGTGTGGACAGGGATGAAAAAGATCATAGGCTTCAAGCAAAATTAGACCTGAGTCTGGACAGAGCCAATGAATTGAATACATTTTTCAATACTTTTATTTCATGAACAAGCTCAACTTCTATCTCTCCTCTCCACAGTGAAATGGACATCCCACCCTCTTTTGAGTATTTTCTGTCACACCACAAATGTTTCAAGTTCCACCTGTGCAGTGGGCCCTCCTGCTTCTATGCGTTTGTTCTTAACCTAAACAAAAATTGTTGTTCTTCCCTCCACCTTTCACCTGTCCGTCTCTAGAAGTCAAAGGAAGAGGCAACTGGAGAGACTGATGTTGAGTTTTAATTCAGGGACTGCATCCTACAAAGGCCACATTCATCAGCCAATTACATCATAACACGGGGCCAATGCCTGTTTGGATTGAAAGACTCCTCATTATGTGGGCCAACAAAGTGCAGCCTTCTTTTTGCTCTTTTGGAAGGACAGGTCAGGTGTACCTATGTAACCTATGGGTAGCTATCCTGTGATTCATTGTGAGTCCAAGCAAGCTGGCTGCTCCATGCTCAGAGGAAAAAGGGGAATGGCAGATATATGGCAGGTAAAATTTGGTTTATTGAAAGGTTTTTATTTGAACTGTCAGCTGTATTATAAGAAAATGGAAGTGTTTGGGAACGACAGCAACTCAGCCACGAAGTGGTAGGCCACGTAAACTGACGGAGCGGGGTCAGCGGATGCTGACGCGCATAGTGCGAAGAGGTCGCCAACTTTCTGCAGAGTCAATCACTACAGACCTCCAAACTTCATGTGGCCTTCAGATTAGCTCAAGAACAGTGCGCAGAGAGCTTCATGGAATGGGTTTCCATGGTCGAGCAGCTGCATCCAAGCCATACATCACCAAGTGCAATGCAAAGCGTCGGATGCGGTGGTGTAAAGCACGCCGCCACTGGACTCTAGAGCAGTGGAGACGCGTTCTCTGGAGTGACGAATCGCGCTTCTCCATCTGGCAATCTGATGGACGGGTCTGGGTTTGGCGGTTGCCAGGAGAACGGTACTTGTCTGACTGCATTGTGCCAAGTGTAAAGTTTGGTGGAGGGGGGATTATGGTGTGGGGTTGTTTTTCAGGAGCTGGGCTTGGCCCCTTAGTTCCAGTGAAAGGAACTCTGAATGCTTCAGCATACCAAGACATTTTGGACAATTCCATGCTCCCAACTTTGTGGGAACAGTTTGGAGCTGGCCCCTTCCTCTTCCAACATGACTGTGCACCAGTGCACAAAGCAAGGTCCATAAAGACATGGATGACAGAGTCTGGTGTGGATGAACTTGACTGGCCTGCACAGAGTCCTGACCTCAACCCGATAGAACACCTTTGGGATGAATTAGAGCGGAGACTGAGAGCCAGGCCTTCTCGTCCAACATCAGTGTGCGACCTCACAAATGCGCTTCTGGAAGAATGGTCAAAAATTCCCATAAACACACTCCTAAACCTTGTGGACAGCCTTCCCAGAAGAGTTGAAGCTGTTCTAGCTGCAAAGGGTGGACCGACGTCATATTGAACCCTATGGATTAGGAACGGGATGTCACTTAAGCTCATATGTGAGTCAAGGCAGGTGAGCAAATACTTTTGGCAATATAGTGTATAATTGGCATGCAGAACAGTTGCGAGAAGTTTGGTTTTCATTATCTCCCTGTTTTGTGTGTAGCCTAGCAACTGTCAAAGTTGCTAGGTGACATAGGACAGCTTGAAAAGGCTGGACCTGTTTGAATCCACAGCCAAAATCTTTCGGCCTGTTTATTTTCTCGGACCTCGAAGGACCCAGTCTTGGTAGACCGGGTCCTTGGAGGACAGAGAAGCGGAAATTTAAACACATCCTGCTTCTCAGTCCCTGAATGTCAGTCCCAGAGCCCTGCAGGCCTGTTCAGACAAGCTCTGTATGGTTCTATAGCACCGCTTCAATTTTAGCTTAACCCAGGAGAACGTTCCAGTGTTGTGAACCTTCTGCTTTGTTCCAGTACCAAAGAAAACTCAGTCAACAGTCATCCATCATGTTAGACCTGTTACCCTAACACCCCACATCATCCTAGAGACTTTTGGTGGTCTACCTGAGCAAGCAAACAAGACGCTTTAAGGATCCTTTGCGGTTTGCTTATCGGAAGGTGCCATTATACAACTGCTTTAGCAGACCCAACTGTGAAGCTACCTATGAGATAGGACAGGCTTAGGTCCTTCGATGTCTGCAGTTAGTTGCTGAATATCTTCTTTTACTCTTGTTGAGTGTGTGGTCTATTCTGCCATCATCTGCTGGTGTAGCATTAGAACAAATTATTTATATTTGAATTCCTTATAAAACGAAGAACATTAAAGAAAACAGCAAGCATCCGCTTTAAAAGAATGTTAAACACAAAAACAGGGTCTTCATTGAAAGACTTCTCCAGATCTGGTGCTAGACCAACTGCTACAGAAGATACTTTCTGCCCATAGCTATAATAATG